GGGCCGACCGTAAAATGTGATTGTTGGTTTTTCCTTTTGTTCTTGAACCTGAAACATTTTAAGCCTTTTTATGTTCTTTGAAACCATATAAGGAGTTGTATATTTCGTATCCACTAAGTTAAGGGGAAATATATGACTGTTTAAACCATGGTAAATAAATAATACTGTATACCAGGTTAATTTTGTATATTCAGTATGTAAAGAAAGAGATTGAAAAATAAAATTGTCCACGATAGTTTTATTATTATTATGTGCATTATTTATGCCATATAGACGATTGCTTGGATGTGCTTTATTTTATCAACTACTGTATGTTGAAATGACCATATAAAGTAAAAAGGAAATATGGTTGTAAGTAACAAAAGACTGAGCATCTCCCACTAATGTATTTTACAGGTAATGTTAAACTTTCCCATGTATTGAAGCTAGGCACACGATGTGTTTACCTATTACAAAAACGTTTACACAATTTAAATACATACGATGGATAGGCCTATCCTTCCCGTTCGAATTTCCTGCCTTGTTTATAAAACGCTTGTTATAAAAGATGTATTTCCAATTTATTTCCAAATGCTTTACACTTCCGAAAGTTTCCGATCGAGGGATAAATATTTGAAATAAATTTCACTTAGAGAAGCCCTGCATGTAAAGTGCGCAGTCTAAGTGCTCTTAAAGGAAGCTTGATAAATAGAATTACAAATGCAACATTTCAGACTCTTGCCTTAAGCGAAGGGTCCTCAACAAGGAGGAGATTTCTTTTCCTCTACAACTGCTACATTATACAATATTTTATCCAAATCTCAATAATAAAATAATAATAGTTTTTCTTTTACCTTGGTTGGAGAACGGTTTTTATACTTTTATCTAAAGGAAAACTTAAAGATTTTAACTTTTGGCTACCAAATAAAATTATTGCTACTAAGATTTTAGATACTTATATGACATTGCTATTTTTTATAAGTACTCTAAATTTAATAATTGGATTCCTTTTTCATCACCTACTACTGTTTACAAGTCAAAAGTCCATTTTAAGTGCTATCTATTTAAACAGCGTTAAATTAATAATGGTTTAGTAAACGTTTATGAAACAACCGGCATAGATTTGCAGCTCTCTTGCATTTTGGATTAAAGAAGAGGTCAAATATCTATATATTAATTTGAAACTGTTTTTCTTTGTCATAGCTATTTTGAGAGAACGGCTGGGTGTAGAAACTCGATAGAGGTGTCTAAAGAAAGGTCTTGGTCTGTAGATGAGCCATCAAAAGAGAAACTTGGTGAATTCCCTTGGGGCTCTGCCCCAGTGGCCTTTAAATTCCTATCCCATGTTATTCTTATGGAGGAAAATGGGGTTTTTGTCATAGCTAATTTGAGAGAACGGCTGGGCGTAGAAACTTGGTAGAGGTATCTAAAGAAAGGTCTTGGTCTGTAGATGAGCCATCAAAAGAGGAACGAGGTAAATTCCCTTGGGGCTCTGCCCCAGAAGCCTTTAAAGTTGCCTCTTCAGATTTGTTTACATTACGACCATATGCATAATTATACACTACTTTTTAATGAAACAGCTGTTAATATATAAATTGTGATTTATTGAATTTGTCAAAATGAAGTACAGTAGCCTATTTGCAATGGGGTTTTCTGATTTTAAATTGGATTTTCTTCTGCATCGTGTCATGTTTTGCAATATAATGTTCTATTACCAAATCAGTGGAAAATCCTAATACCACAGTAACTCTTAAAATTATTTCTTATGGAGTTAACTTATATCTATTGTATGGCTTGGTTTCTGCCTTTTTTTACCACTTCTTGGAGATTGTACGTAGGTAATTTGTCGTTCTTTGGCGTATTGCATCTGTAGACGAAACTTGGGTTGGTGAAATTATTACAATGGAAAAAAAGCGAGAAATCCTGGACAATTTGATATAGGCTATAAATAAAACTGAATTAACAATATGCTACATTTCTTGAGCAATCATTATAATAATCGATTTGCTAACAATGGATACATAGAAAAAGTCATAGAACACAACCAAGTAAAAGAAAAGAAATAATGTTTTTTTTTCATTTATAATCGTTAAATACTCCTCCAACCTAATTACGGGACAACCTAATGCGGCTATGAGAGGGAAAAATTTGTAGAAACACTAAAAAACAAGATCAGCTTTTTGAGAAAAGATAAGATATTTACAAAAGATTTTGATTATATCTAACTGTAGCGTAGATCGTGAGTATTTCCATAATCTTTGTGAGTTGCCTGTAATGCTTCCCAATTGCTCGAATTCGAGCAACAGGTACACTAGTATTAAATTAATTTAAAATATAAGAGAGCCATAATATATACTGATAACATTGTTATCTTGGGATTTAATCAGACAACACTTATTTTAAAACATTATTTTTAATAGCGCAGTGTGACCTAACTAACTGCAATGTAATGCGCGGCCATGCAAAATATTTCTGGTCCATGTAAAAGAATACTTAACTATGTTAAAGAATACTTTACTATTTAATATAATGCGCTACTATGTAATATGATTATTAAATAATATTTTGTTGCCCAATATTTCCTGGACAGTTTTTATCACATTACAGTTTTAATCACATAATACTCAGTGTGTTAGAAATATTGCATTAGTTTTTAAATTACCTTCTATACTTCTACCTATGATACAAAAGAATACAAAAAACATTTGAGATAAAAATAGAGTATTACTTTATTCGTTCAAAGAGAATTTATTTTTACTGGAAATATAAACAAATATTGATATTTATCTCATATGACACTGACTCAAAGAGATTGGTGTTTCCTGTCAGAGAGTAACAGATATTTTATACTGAAGCTGTTGCGATCGGCTGGCGAGAGATTTCCTCTGACACATTTGTAATGCTTTGGAGACGTTTTGTGCTGTCCTCTTTTTCGTTGCATGATGTACAACACCGTGTATTGTTTAAAATTACATCTAATTAACATAATGGTCATATCACACTCAGTCCAGTCACAGTTCAGTCTCAGTTGCATCCGCAATTCCTCAGTCAACTGTCCATCAGTTAGTCTCAGTCAGTCTTCCGTCACAAATATTTATAGTGATGTTGAAGTCAGGAATTTTTAATTAAAACACAATATTCCATCAAATTTTCATCGTATATCTTGTTGATTGTTACAAACAGTACTTAAAATATAAACACAATCATTTAACAAAACCACTATTTTCTAACCTCAAACAAGTCCGTCAGGCATCCGAACAATCCAAAAATATCGGTTAGAAGAAATCTGAAATTGACTGACGGACGCTACAAAGCAACTGACGGACCTGCGCCGGATGAGTGTAGATAGTGCAATAGAAAATCCATTAAAGAATATTTGTGTTGACTGTGACGTGACTGATGTGACTGACCTGTGACGTGCCGTAACTGATGTGTGTGAATCGACCTTAAGGCTTGTCTTGTAAAGTGATGTTTATGCGTTATATCAAGAAGGATCTCGTAACCTAAGAGTATATTTATGGTTTTAGTGGTTTATACTAACATAAGTTTTAAAGCTAAATATAAATTCAGGTGAGTGTATCATAGGGCGTGTTATCATATATAGCTTTGGTATTAACGGAAATAATCTAAATATAGAACAGTTTAAAGAAAAGACTATATGGAAATATCAAGAGTAGCTTAACGTAAACTAAAGCTTTCTTAAGTACTCAAATAAAATCAAATCAAACTCACTCTCGTTTACTTAAAAAAAAAAAAACTAAAACAAAAAATTATATTTATACAAGAACGCTTAAGTCACTGGTTTGCCTGCGTTTCTTGCAGTCAAATCTGATTAAAACAGGTCTATAAATATGGAATGTCTACTTCAGTATCAGAAGTTAATAGCACTATGAACTGAAACATGGAATAAGATTAACCATTCTAAAGACTGTGAAGTCGACCCGTCTTTTAAATAAAACTTTCAACTGCAAAGTGATGCAGAATAAACACTTTAAAGCATAAATAACAAGTTTCAAGAACCATCAGCTTCTTTCATTCCAATTTATGTTACGGAGTGGAAAATGTGAAAGAACTTTTCAAAACAAAGGAATGAAAGACTTGAGACTAATAGGCTTTTGTTTTCTGCGGTGAAAGAAGTTGATTTGTTGGCTCTTTATTTGAGAGATAAAAGAGTACTCTTCAACACAATGTAGATGTTAAAAATATATTGTTTATGAATTTTCTACTGTGACGGTTATTTCATGGACAAAAAATTATATGTTGTAAGTAGGATTTTAATTTTAGATGTACTAAAAATGCAAAATAGTACACACACATGTGCGGTTTACCCAATGGCTAAAATGTGCGACAACCGAGAAAGCAGAGGTTAAAATCCCGTTAAACACCAAAACTGTATAACCTAATGACGTGATAATAATGTTACTGGGGGATAGAACTTCCTGAAGTTTTAGGTCCACCTATTTACAAAATAAACAAACGGCATCAGCAATCTTCACATACTTTCTCCAACTAGCTGGTCAACATCCCTTATGGGCAATCTTTGAAAGTCTTAATAGTATTTTGTGGGTGAAATAACAAAAACTCCAATGACTTTTGAACCTTTGTTTTAACAACAATGGGGGTTATCATTTTGTTTTGATTTAAAAGGACTATAACATACAAATTGTTATCAAAATCGTTTGGGCCGTCACATGAAGATATCACTTGGAAAACCACTTATCTTGTTCAGAGGGACCCGAAACGGATATTTCCAATACAAATTCGAACTTGAAAATTTATAGACGAAAACATTACATTCACAAGAAAGTAAAAATGTAGGTTTCGCAAGCCAATAGTATTGTCTTTATACTGGGGGGCTCTCTTTAACAAAAAGAGACAAATTCACAAAGTATACGATAATTTGCTTTTAAAATTGTATATTGTATTTATTGTATAAAATTATAAAATATAATATTAATGAGGTATGCCTTTGCAAAAAATAACTGTTGAATAACTTTACTAAGTATTTATTTTTGTTCCAGACATGTGATGGCTACATATTGTCAAGGACCATTCGATAGTTGAGGTAAGTACAAATGTTATCGAACAGATTAAAGTTATGAAATTAAGAACAAACCGCCCTAAGTTAAGATTTAAAGTGTGCGAGTTGAACACTTTCTGGTTAAGAAGCTTTTTAAACACACTACTGTTAAGCGTAAAATCAAATAGTCATATAATTGGAAAGGTCTCAAAAAATAGACTGCTTAGAAAGCATGTGAAAGCCAATGAGTGTGCAAAGAACTACAATAACTTTTATCATAAGATACAGTATTCATAAAAACTAATATTTGTATCAAAGAATATTAGAACAGAAAACTGTATGGATCATAAACATAAGCAAATTGTATCACTGGCCCAAAAGAAAACTTGTTTGAATTCTTATTTAAACGGAACTGTCAAAAAACGACCAAATCAGATGTTAAGTTTGTTAGTATAAGGTTTGGACTAGTGACATAATTTTTTATCTATATTATCTATACAGTTTCTGTTTTGATATCCAAGGTTGTATCTCAACAATAATTTTGTAAGTGAATTTAAGAGGAATGTACAATGTACATAGCATGAAGTAACTATGTACAAGTTATTTTCTTACACCACTTCACTAACGAGATAAAAAATATCACACAATGCACATTTATTTGCAAATAAAAAAAAACATTTCAAAGTTCCCTTAAAACAAAGGTCCGTTCACGTCAAAGAAATGAAGATTGAATGAGCGATTCGTAGTGTTGCTTTGTTTCTATTGGCCAGGTGGTTCTTGTTTTCTACCGCACACAAATCCGCCTTGCGGTTGTTTTGGCCCTATTAAACACCGGGCGCGTAAACAATTGTAGGAAGCAGTTTGAGATCCATTGTGTGCTGCACCATTTGTATTGGTTTGGAGCGCATGAAACAAAGTTTTTTGTTTCCTTTCGTAGAAATAAAAATATGAGTTTTTCCACGTAAAGTAAATGTTCACAATTTGAAAATTTTGTTTTAGTTTACATATTTGAACAATACAAAGAGTAGAATGAGGAATTTGTAATATATTTTTTCATTTATGCATAAAAGGTCTAAAACTCGATTTTCAACCTAACTCTTGAGTATTAATTGGTATGTCCCGGTTAAATAGTAGGGCTGCGTGGTTTGAATAAATTGTTAATATTTATTTCCAGTCGTATATAGCCTATTATTAAATTTTAAGTTTAAAAGTTGATTTTCTCAAACTGTTTTTATATTTGGTACTTTTACAAAGTTCAAATATATATTACTGTATTTTTATATTTATAATATATACTTAAGTTTAATAGTATCGACAAAAATACTACCACAATATATATATAATCAGGCTGTTTGCCTTAAAACTGTATCATATCTGGACGAGCATGTAAATGTTTTGAGATCTATCTCATGTAGAAAAGGGGTTTCTTTGCTTTTACCAAGTTTCAGAGTGGCACATTTCATAGAATATAAAATAAAATTGAATTTTTAATTTAGTTATTAAATCCTTACTCTCTGGGCATCAAAAGATTTTTAAACATACTGCATCAACTTATTTTCTAACCAGCTTGTAATGATATATTTACCTTTAAAGATATCATGGTGATATCCATAGCACATTCACAATAATAAAAAAATATATTGATACATCAGCAACTAGTGAAGCTCTAGGAGTAAACTTCAATGGATTAAGCTTCAAAGATCAGCTCAAGACAACGCAAAGGCTTATTTATGCCGGTTAAGCAAATGGTAGAATTGCTAACTATTTATCTCTTTATATATAACCAAATTAACACTACTTTTATGAATATCACAGAATTATTGTAAAATAATAGACTAATGCTTGCCCTCTGGTGTTACGATTTGAAATTAAGACAATCAATTTGTAACATTTTCTCTTAATTGGCAAGGAAAATTTAGGACAACGTCCTTAAAATCAAACGTAACCATACTGAAAATCCATTAAAAGTCATTCGAATTTCTTTATGATGTCTTCTTGTAAGCCTCAAGTTAAATTTTTGTAATATTCCTTGTAAGCAGAAACATTTTTTTTTCTTTAAATATGTTATCTTAAGATATAAGTAGTATTAATGACGTTCACAGCTGAACGAAAGGGACTGCAAATTTAGTCAATGATTAATTAATGTGTCAAAACCAACCTCTTGTCCCAATATTGACAGGTATAAATATTCTGGCTGAAAATATCAATCTCTTCGAGTCAATTTTATCGGAGAAATATCAGTGTGCGTTTATATTTCCAATACTAAATTAAATCCACTGTTCATGAACTTCGTGCAAATAATTGAACGTCTTTTATTTATGATTTGCTGCCTAACGTTTGGAATTTGGTACAGTTAAAGATACGTTAAGACGGTGTTTGGGAAGAAAACATCCAAACGTTCTCATCTTTGAAAGTTTATTTCTCAAAGGTATCTTCTTTGTTAACATTAAAATTGTGCTGACTTGTATGATTGTCTTGAACATTATTTTATATTATAGCGTACTTTATAATCATTTGATTGGCTTAACGATAATAGTTTTGAATGAGTTTTTAGATGATAAAATGATTTGCTACATTATTTCAACTCATTACTTAGCGCTTTCGCTGTTGTCCATCAGTGTCAAAAGTTAAAACGGAATAGAAAGAACTATACGCATTTACCAATTCACAATGCTTACACTATGATGGTTCAATTTAGAATACTTAAACAAATCTGCTACTATCTGACATAGTTTAATCTCACTTAGTCGTTTTGTTATCCCAAGTATGTCGGCGTTCGCTTGTGTGTTTAATATTAATAGTATTGCATGGTTTAAAGGTGATTAAAAACAAAACTGCTTAGAAGGAAAAAATTGACTTGATATGTATAGATTTGTTTGGGAAACATACTTAACAGAACCTCGTCAGGAATAGATAAATCAAAATGGTTCTAATTGATATTTTATTTAAAATGAAACTATCGACTTTTAACTTTTTGATTCGTCCAAAGGACATAATAATAACTTAACCGTCTTTGGAAACGAATAAAATGTCATTTTATTATAATTGAAGGATATCCAACAATTCAACACCCAGGAAGACAACTTTGAAAACTACTTAAACTTAAAACTAAATTAGTGAACTAAATCAATACATGAAAACTTTTTACAATCAGATAAAACGGAATGCAGTGCGTAACACATCTGATCACATTTACAATGAAACTTCCAACTCTGACATTCATGCGCATTGACCAAGGCTGCTATTTCGTCATAGTTATAAATAACCTAGGTAAAACTCTAACCAACTCATTCGGGCGCCTCAGCTCGGCGATCAGAAGTGATTTCCGGTTCCTGCCTAGTCTACAACCACGTGACGAGTCAACTTGAGTGTCCCGTCTTCCACTTCCGGGTGTCACATGACTTCTTTCTAAACTGTTACGTAATCTGTGACTAAAATGTATAATTTCGTATCTAACACAGAACTTATGGAACTTTTTGGTTTTTTTTTTTTGAAGGAACTTTTGGATTTAATTTACAATGTATTTAAGTTTGCGAAAAGTAGTAAACACACTTAGCTTGTAGCTAGTTATTGTATACAAAACTTTAAAATAATAATACTAAATTGTGAGTTACCTTTAATTGAGTCCTAACACGGAAGACAAGTTGTACAACCTTTAGGGATTTAAGTTTTATTTTCTGTTTTGTTTCTTTAGATATTAATTCCATGGTGCTCGGTCCTATTGTTCAATTTGTACTATAGAAGTTCTTCATTCCCCTTCAGGCCTATACACTTAAATTACTTGGGCCTTAAATAACACATGATTGCAAATGAGTTGGTCTTTTAGTAGGGTGGGTATAATAAACACATAGCATAGTAAGGGTGGGGTTTGGTGTATAAGAATAAAACAGTATTATTCAGGAGCAAACTCCTCCGGTTACCAAATAAATCCATTTTTTTTCTAGAACTGGCTTAAAACTGGCAAAGATTTTAGGGCTAAATGTATATTTTCCAACAGTCTACAGCCAAAGCTAAACAAATAGTAACGTTGAGATAATCTTTAAATTTTTTTTGCTTTGAGGTCACAAGTTTGTAGTATAAGCTTTATCGCCATGCAATTAAAAGTATATATTTTAGCTAGTTGGAAAATTTAAAATATTTGTTCAATTGGCCTACAAAGTTAGTAAAAAATCACTATTAATTATAAATAGTTAATGTACATATAGGCATATGTACTGTAGGGGTTTTAAAGCTTTTGAAACATGATAAGAACGGTTATTTTAGAAACTCTCTTTATAATATGTTATCCTACAGAGAGGCCAAATAAAAATGTGTCGCACGGAGTGAGAGAGTATTCCACATGTAGGTCTCTCAAATTACCTCCGGGATTGAAATTTCATTCAGTGTAATCTTCTCCTGCCTCGCTTCAACTCAGTCGTACGTATTACAACAGTTTTGTAAAAAATAATTTTATTATTTTCCATGAGCAAATATTTCTTTGAAATTACATTTTATTTAAATGAAGCAAAGTTGTGATTTTATTCAAGTGGTAAAATTGTTTCATTGTCTTCTCCACAGTTATCATGTAAGGGGAAATATTTTGGGCATATTCTATTTAAATGACTGCCAAAAAAATCTATGAACGAATATAATATATGTAAATCAATGAATAAATAAATTATTGATTAATAACAATAAATACATAATTTTTTCTTATGGTGAGTCAGTGGCTCAGTTGGTAGCGTCACGGGCTTCGGGCCCAAGGCAGCGATGTCGTGGGTTCGGATTCTGGTCACTGACGCAAATATTTTATCATTACAGATCACCTTCGTACTGTATCGGTTCATCCCTTGCTTTGCTGGATACGCTCCACACACTATGTACTCTATGTGGACGGGCAAATGCAAGGTTAAAAGAGACCGCCAACCTCTTACAAAAAAGAAGAAGAACGGGTTATAAACAACGACAAGTATTTTTTGTAATTTGTGGTGATACAAATATTCCCTGTATTATTTTACTGTAAAGTGCATGTCATAAAATGTTGAGAATGTAAGTGAATTGATAATTCATGAAGAACAAGATATCCACTCAAGTGAAATTTAAATTGCACGAACCGCTTAGCAAATAGTTAACACTGTATTGAGGCATGTAAACTAATAAAATAAATACATGCACTAACTTAAAATGAATGAAATACATTCAAAATAAAAATAAAATTATCGCTACTTTCCAATCCCTGGAGGGAAGCTGGTCATGTTTTTATTAACTTTGTTCGTATAGAACACGCGACGGAGAATAGAGACAAAATATGTATTCACGATTAGTAATAAAAACAAAACTTCACACTCGCAGATGTTTTGTGAATTTAAATTACATGCACGTGAGTTCCAGAGCTCTCAATAACTTTATGGAAATATTGTTTCCATGAAGCTCTTGAATGTTCAACTCTGATAATGCAAGTTGTCTGTTTTCACTTGGTTGGTTCTTTGTGAGCTTCATTAATATTTCATGTGGACCACGTGTGTTGCTATCTTTACTTGTTTCAAGTATTATCACTCTGAATTTTAAAACACCAGCTTTTTTAAGCACTTCGATAAATTAATTATTGAAATGTACACAATTGTTCAACTAACGTAATGTTTTAAAGTTAAGTTTCAACCCAAATCTTAATCTCTTTATGGCTCTTGATTTTTTTTATGGTGACTGGCTATGAAGGTGGAGTACTTATACAACCAACCAAACCATGCATTTAGAAAACAGCATAGTTAGGGAATCTTAAATGACTAAGATAGATTGGACTATTTGAGTTGTACAGTTATCCAAACTTTTTTGTAAAAAATGTAGAGGGTCAAAAATATATGACATATTTAGGTATCTAAATAATTACGTGTATTTGTAGTCTCATTTCTTTCGTTGCTCTAGGATTTTTAGGGATGGAATCACACATCAATCAATCAGTACGCAATAAAAGATTTGACTACAGTGCCTAAACTTTTTACCCTTGAAGAAAATGATTGAAAGAAAAATAAATTTATTCCCAGATGAGAATGACACAAACACACGGCATATACATTAAACATAACCAAATTACTTCACCATGATCCGTTTACCGAATTTGATACTAATAATCTTAACAATTGGTGAAATTTACGTTTAACAGTTTCACTTAAATAATAATACAAACATGTAAACTTTAGGGCCAGTGATGTCATTATTCGTTTTATGTTCTAATATCCATGATATTATAACTCAAAATAAAAAATATAATAAATAAATGCAAAAGTTTTAACTTTGTAGACAATTAATTAACATAAAAATTTTACCTGGAATGAAAGCAATTCATCCGGCCAGTCACCCATGTTCCAAGGATATATGTTGATAACATGCAAGAGAAAATATATTTCTACCAAAATATTTCATTCTCCTGGTTTCAGAGGATGACGACACAGCACAGGGGTCCCCGGAAGTGAAGAACAAAGATGTCCGGGGAGTCACCGATAATCCAAGGGACGGGAGAGAAGAGAGAATGGAGGAAGAGGTTCAGTTTAAAAGCCACCAGGCGCGCCACTTTTGACGAGGTAACTTAAATAATATAATTGCATTGACTACAGACATTGCACCTAAGCTTTTCATCCTATTGCGTATTCCTAAGTTTTTTGTTTCGTTTCATACAGTCTTACCGTCAGTTTTACTCTTTGGTTTTGTGGCAATGTGGGCGTGGAGAACATCCGTATTGGAGACTGGCTGGGATCTCAAAGTCAACAATGATACAGGCCTATAGCGTCCCCAAAAGAACGAATAAAATCTACAGCTTAATACTTCTTACCAAGGGTCATAGAAAAGTCAACTAGGTATTAATTTTAAAGCTGGCATTTGCAATATTTGCATGTTTAAATATTTAAAACATACAGTAGAAATATGGAGGTGCAGTTATAAAATAGTGTATTTAATGATTTATGGAGACGAAATAGGTGGATTGATTGTGTGAGAGTTTGTGAAAGATCAAAAGTGTATCGCTCGCCGATCTGAAACATAGATGAACTTAAAGCAAAGTTAAGGGAAACCTCTGGAAAAATGTATGCTGAAATTCGCTACAATATAAGGTCAGAGTTGGAACACAAACATGACTTTCTTCAAGCAAATAACGGAGAACATACATAGGTGCAGTGAATAGGAAATTGAGGAAAAATGTGTATATTAAATTAAATTTATATCTTTATTAATAAAGTATGTTTATACCAGTTTACTTTTGGTCCATTCTTTATGGGACACCCGGTATATATTTTGTTAAGTGATTGCAGTGATCAGGAATTTGGTTTTAGGTTCATATATCAAGTAATTAATAAGTACCTTGCGTGCAGAAGGGAATATTGTGATCCAAATAATGACATATGATATTAAAATTACCAAAATAAAAATAAAACTTCTATAGGGGCTTATACCAATACCTATGATATTTTCTGTATGTCAAATTGTACTCCAAACGGAAAATCCAATTCTCCTTTTTTCCACTTGCTTTGCTACACACCAGATATAAGGTTAGAAAGATGTAACAATATTTTCCAATTCGGAACCCTGTTTTTCACTTCTATGGATATCTTGTCCATTATAACTAACTGAAAAGGTAGAAGCGACAAGCAAATGTTATTTCAATTGTATAAACAATTTAATTATACAGTTATCACATGCAAAAGTGGGTAGAAAAAATCATGAAAAAGACGCTAAATTAGCGTATTATGGTTTTAATGGCATTAGATTTTATGTAATGGCTTTTATATATCCCCTGTTCATCTACATTAGTATATAGATAAATATATATATCCAGGGTGACACTGTCTTTTTCTATAGTGACAATAAAAAAAAAAAAAAAAAACTCATATTTACCACTAATTCGCTTAAAGTAATATTAAATAAATGGTTAGTAGTTAGTACTATAGAAGTTACTTTTGACTGTATAGCCGGGCATGGTGTTTAGGATGTAAGGTGGTATTTAAGGAGGAGAATGGAATGTGATTAGGCCACCCAGGACGTTGCGTCAGCACATATCTACTCCCTGTAGAATAAGGGGTTTCTTTTCTCAGATCAACTAATCACATCTATAGTCCCCTATCTATCTAATGCTGGTAATCAAAACTACACAACTACTTTTTTTGTAATTGAATAACCATATAAGCTAGCAAAGTCCATTAATTGCACTATATTATTACAGAAATCCATTCCGCTATGCTTTCTTGGGGGGATCGATTGGTCGATTTTAAGTTGTTTTTTTCTGTATGCAGCTATGAAAACCTACAATAACATGTTTTATTTAGTTTTCATCCACTTTATAATTTGTTCCTTTAAGATTAATGCGTCAAATGACATGTTGAAAGTCCTTATTTTATGGATGAATCCATAGGGGTTGTAAGGATACTACTTTTTCATGTAGAATTCTTCAACTAGTTTACTAACGTGTTCTTTTAAATGCAACCTTTCTGGAATGACAAGGTACCAATTTGGCTCTATCGTTGACAAATACTCCATAATTTTGTTAAAGTTACCTTATCAATATTTAATAATACTACTCAAGGAGTGAGAAAAAAATGCCTTAAAATAAAACGTAATTATAGTTTTTAATGTTTTAGTTTTTAAATAGTTCTGATTTTTTACTTCATAGTCTTTACTCTTGAAAAATCTACAAAGTGGTTTTGAAAATTATGTCACTAGCCATTTTTATAGGCCATAGAATTCCTTCTACAATGTCCAATAAATTAAAACGGATATTACGCAAACATTTGGTCCTTTAGGTGACCTAGCAGATGACGTAGTCAATTGAATGTGTCTCATGGTGTGAATGTCCGATAGGAGTGTACGGGTCCGCGGCCCAGCTGGGCTAGAAGATGTGCGAGTCTCAAGCAGCACTCTCGTCAGGTCCTGGACTCTCCTCCGAGCGCCAGCGGTCGCTCCACCCCCGTCCAGGACCCCGTCCCTGCCTCCACCACTCCCAGGAGGTCCAACTGGGAAGTCATCGAACACTACAGCGAAAACAGCATACCCAAGAGTAGGAGGCCTTCTATGATGGTGAGGAAGTGATACTAGAAACAATTAGATAGTTTTAGGATAGCGACGCACACTTTAAGCTGAATGTGAATAATAGTTGCGTGTAGAGTGGATAGACAGTTCAGTTATACGCCATACTATGTGTGGGTGATGTGCTGACCATTTTTTTTTCAACCGATATAGATTTTTTTTATTATTAAGAAATATTGAGTGCACATGTGCAACTAAAATCTGGAATGCCTTGATTTCAGAGTCTTTTTTCTCAAACATGTAATTAAAAATGTGATAAGACTATTTAGAATGTAAATGTAACTTAGACTTTCGTATACATAACAGTTTTAAATTTTCGACAACATTCTGTTGGTCACCTTAGAATCACCTACTATTTTTTCAAAAAGTATACTTAAATAAAGAGAAGCTCTATAAAGTTTATTGTTTGGTATTTTTCCAAGGCAACTGAATGGCCTTTTAGAAAAGAAAAAAATTTTCTTAATAAGTAAGCTATAAAGCTAAAATATTCCTTTCCACTCTCTTGTCGGCCATCAGCCGGTTCGCGATCGTATCACAAAGACTTAGAGAAGAAAAAAAAATATGTAAATTATTTTTTGAAAATGTATTTTTGTCATTATTAGTATAATTCGAAGTTCAAATACTGATAGGCTTAATGATCTGCATAATTAATTAAACCTAGGGGATGGGGGCGGAGCCCTAAAATGAGAGTGGGAAGGATTGTGTTGAATAACAGAGTATAACAGAAAATTCCCTCTAGAGATAGGAGAGTAATGAATAGAGGGAAAACGAAGATACGCTCTCGGGTTTTGCTTGTTTTGGTATTTCTGCAAGGGAAAAGTCTAGCTCAGAGACTTTACCTTCTACGACTTCAAGCGTTGTTATAGAGTAGAGAAGAACTTCTTCAATGGGATAGAGAGTCTGTTAAGGAATCAGAAGCTCAGAAATCTCTCTTACAAGTAAAAGACCTTAGAGTGGAAACTCTTTTTGCTAGGACACCCATAAAAAGGTCCAACTAAGTTACGTTATTTTACAGAGTAGGGTAGAAAGCTTACGAGAAGAGGAAGAGCACGATGAGGAGGCGGAGGCGCAGGAGACACTTCTTCAGGTGAAAGGTTCCAGAGCGGAGACTGTTCTTGCGAGGACAACCAAAAAGTCCTACTGGACGCGGTTAAGAAACAAACTGTGTACTGCGCATCGCTTCAAAAACCTGCAGGTAAAGCATTACAATTCTTCTATGTGCACATCAAGTATAGACTATTATCGCTAAAACATAGTCGTGTAGACTAGAATCACTAAAACTAAGATTTAACTATTGTCGTTCTGTTGTCCCCAAACTAAAGGTTTCTTGATTGTTATCACTCAAATCAAATATTCCGGTGTTTCTCTTCAACAGATGTTCAAACTAAAAATAAGTATTTGTGAAAGTTCTATCAATCGTGTACCCAGAACATATCAGATCAATTAATTACTAAAACAGAAAAAATGTATTTGTATTTCAGATTTTTGCCAATTAGTGTAAGAACTCATTTTTCTAACCTGAATGATAGTTTCCTACGGTTCAATCAAGTCCGTGTAATAAACCCAAATACTATAATAATTATTTAAAATATATTAAAAAAATAACAGATTCAACAAAAAACTAACAAAAACATAGAGGAAAAGTTGAATTATTCACCAACAATATGACTTTAAATGCATTTTCGTCATCGTGTCAAGTGCTGTCATGACCAGTAACAGCGTTTTGCCAACAATTAAATATACATCCAGGCGTGACTTTAATCAGCTGATTGTTTTCCCAGCCATTGTTTGCACATTGTAGCACCACACTGGTCAGGTAAAGTCATACCATGGCTCGTCCAAAGATGTTCCTTTTAAGAGGACTTTGGTCTTCTTTCTTTTCTCTCTCTCTGCCTATTGGTGATCCTGTGCATATCCTTACTTGTTTCCAGGTGGGTGGTTAATTGTTTGTATAGTTTAAATTGAAATGTTTTCTCAATGCACGGGTGGATGAAAATAGTGGTAAAGCGTAGACTGTCTAGTTGCATGGTGCTCTAATTTTTATATAATTTCATGTTTGTTAGCATTATTAATTAATTGAACATAGCTGCAACAATTTGGATAGCCTACGAGATAAAATTTACTATAATTATAAGTCATGAAAATACACATAATCTTGTTTACATAACCGACCTCTATTACTACAATAGAAATCGATGGTTTGCATGCATGATGGTTGATGCCACAACAATAATTATTCTTTACAGTACCACTATTCCACATCACATGGGATTTAACGTTTGTTCCAGGTGGAGATGCTGTACCAGAGGTATTTCCTACACACCAACCAGAGTCATATGACTCACCTACTAGGTCTACTGTTGGGCCTCTGTTCCGTCATGGGGGTGGGTCATTTTGTCTTCTCCTTCAGCATTTCCACGGTTAGTCTCGCTGTCAACTCTCACACCCTCCTCACCACAGCAACCCTGCTGCTCTGCGTCCTCGTGTATGCGGGTGAGTTTGATTTTTGCTTCTGATATTTTACTTAGCTACTTTGTGCGCACGTAGTTCATACAATTTATATAGAGTTTTTCTAATAAAATTGTTTTTCTCATACACGCTTACAAGTTAGTAGCCTACATATCAGACTCAACACACTTTATTTTTATACAAAAATTCCTCTGTGGGAAAAACTGTTCCAAATGTTCAGACCAATCTTGGCATGTTCTTCATTTATATTACGTGCAATATTCAACTCTGTGTAAATCACTTTCTTAATAATATCGTAATATTATTGAATATAGTTTTCACAAAACTATGTTTAACAAAAACTTGAAATCATTTTAACCCGAGCAAAACCTTTAAAATTCTGAAAAAATCCCTTCATGAATGGTATTTTAAATTAAAATTTATGCTATTATAGATAATAATCTACTTACGTATCACGTATGCCAGTAGGTGTCAATTATTAATACTTGAATTATGCTGTACATGTTTCAAGCCTAAATACGGCTCATCTTCAGCAGCATTTTTCTATGTACAATTTTCACATCGAGAGATGATTGTCGACTATATACAGACCACATATACACACAAACACAGAACGTTTTAGCATGCTATTTTTATTATTTACATGTGTTTTTGTAGCGTACGCTCGTTTAAACAATACCCAAAAAAATAACATATTAATAGCAATTAATTATTAATAGCATATTATATTGGTTTTAATTGTACATAGAAAAATGCTGCTGAAGATGAGCCGTATTTAGGCTTGAAACATGTACAGCATAATTCAAGTATTAATAATTGACACCTACTGGCATACGTGATACGTAAGTAGATTATTATCTATAATAGCATATTAAAGGTGTCAAGGCTGATTAATTTGATATTAAAATTTACTCTTAAAAGTAGTTTACATAACTTTTTATTAGTAATTAGCATTTTTCATAAGGATAATCCCAGTGTGTTCTTAATTTTAAGTGTTAAGTTATAATTTTATTCAATAATTTCGTTTATCGAGGTTCAAATTTTGTTCTTTAATACTCAGTCAACTAATTAATTATATTCCCACTCAACAAATTGAACTTCATGAACACGTTACAACTAGTACTAGTCAAATAACACAACTCAAACGCCATAACGGACAAACATGATTTCGTGTTCACAAAGACCAAACGGCCATCACCCTTGATGCGATGTGATGTGGTCTGTTTTGATGTTGATGTTTTCATGTTTGACTATCACCTGAGTTTATGCCATTCATGTACAGAGCTAACGGCCTAAGTGCCTTTTGATTTGGATTCTGTAATGGATTTCAATAAAGGTCTATGGACTATATACATCAAAACTATTCAGTAACGCATATCAGTGTGAACTGGTTATATACGGACCAAACTAATATTTTCGAACGTTAAATTTTGAACCAACAGATAATCATCGCAAATTTACTTCGCTCTTTGATTTGGTTTGTCATGACTAAATAGCACGTTTTACAGGAAAATGTATGTGGTTATTGCGTTGGAATGGTAACGAATCTACCATCAGCCCTTCTAAATAGTAAAAAAACGTTTTGAAATTGCCTCAAAATAATAAAAATTAGTGTTCCAATTCTAAAAATGTCATTGTTTAAATATTTTGAAATAATATCATATTGGGAGGAAAATATTTAATCTATTTGTTAGTTTTACCCCAAACAAGTTATAAAAGTATATTCGATGCATTTACTAAGAAGATTTAATCAGTTTAGCGAAATTAAAACTTAATATATAATTGTTGCGACACAATTATAAAACATTATAAAAGCTGCACACTGTAAAATAAATAGGTTATCATTATAGAGATCCAACTTCTTAGCTTGAAGGGCAAACTTTTTTTAATTACACTTTAAAAACGTCACACCGCTTGAAGACACTAAAAATGAGAAACTTGTCACAAGCTAAAACTGGGTTAATGGGAGTGGGGTACGTTGAAATACAATGTCTTGCAAACCTCCGGAGTTTTGAACATTAAAGGAGAAAAGTTTTGAGACGCACTTTCCAACAAGAAATATTGCCAAAGTTAGGATTCTTAGATTAGTCACTCAAGTGATTTTGCCTTTTTTGCCACTTTGGTGATTGAACATTTTGGTATTTTTGAACCTTCTAGTTTTGGGTTCTACACATTCTAAAAACTGTTATACACTTTTAAGACACGTACAGCTATACTGGTTCAGAACGGTATGTACTAGATTAAGCCTAATACATATCTATTGTTTGCTGCAACTTTAGTTTTGCAAGTATCGCTTTACCTTTGCTGAGGAAAATATAATCAAAACCAACAAAAATAAGATAATAAAATGATTTTTTACCCGGTCTGCTATGCCATATTACAATACTTATGACATTTAACAATAATAGTTATGGTAAATTGATTATTATGTAGCACTGACGACTTAGTGCATCTTTACTGGAAGTGTTCAAGGTTAATTTCATATGAGAAAAATATTATTTAAATTTGAAAATGTGTTCATATGACGTTTTTTTTATCACAACATTAAGTAGTTTTACAATCTCAGGTAATAGTTATTTGTGCAACTAGTGAGCAATTGCACTTTGCACTCGAGTTACACATTATATTTTCCCTACAGTTACCATAAAACAAATAAATTAGTACTGAAACGTAACATATTCGTACACAGAAGTGAACTTTTAATATGACATTTAATGATACAACAGTACAACAGCTGACCAGCTGATTTACAGCCAGTGTTGCCAACGTATTTCGTGCGCATACGACCTTGCGTGCATGTTACGCGCTCACTATTTCGTGCCTTCACGTTGCAAATCTAGAGTGAGACAAAGTAATTACAGTGAGACAATGTTAACATTGTCTCACTGATGAGCGAATTGGCCACTTTGCTTTCTCAAATCAGTGAGAGAACATGTACATTGTTAGGTAACTGTAGGAAAAACTGTTTACATTTAACTATTTCATTTCCCACAAGAAAAGAAATGTCTTTTTGATAAATCAAAGTAAGGTTAAAATGAGGGTGCACAAGTTAGGCTAATTGGTGGGTCTTCACGGTTTTTAATACATTACTGTGTTTGAATTACATTAATGCCCGTACCGCTATTCATAGATGGCTTAGGAGGTTAAAAGAACTAATGAATGTGACATTGGTCTGTTTAGTTATATTACTTTGTTAAGTAACAATTTATGGACAGTAAATTCTATTAAGATTGATATTTTGTGTTATATGTACCTATAGTTTTTAACCCACGAATAATATCTTTATATTCGAAGCTAAATTTCAGTTTACGGAAAATATAAACTATTTTTAAAAAAACACACTATAACTTTCTGATATGTCTAGTCCTACACCTCCAAAAGTATATAATGTCTTCTTTAAGTATATTTTGTACCTTTGAGTATAATTTATACCTTTACTTACTTTTATACCTGGATATGTTAGCTCAACCTACAAGTTTTTCAATATTTGTGTATGCTATACAGCATTTTGAATGTTGATGTTTGATGTTAAATCATCTTACAAACACACGTGATTAACATTAACCGGTTATAGTAGCTTTCATAACGTAACGCATATACCATCACAGGAAACATCATATTCACAAAGACCAAACGAGCATCGCCATGTGTTTTGATCTGTTTTGACGTTGGTGTTTTGATATATGACTATTACCTGAATAAACGCAGGGTCAATATTTACAGCTAACCTATTCTAAAAGCCTTTGATTTAGACCCCATGATTAGTGTTAATAAACATATGTTTAGACCTTGGGTAAACTAATATATCAAAGGTAACCTAGGAATAATTTTATTCTTTTTTAATAAACACTTCGAAACAAGAATATATATATACATTTTTTCCAAATTTTTATCCAATGCAGGAAGACTATTTAAATAAAAATACCATTATCCCTTAAACATTAGTTTAAGACTACTCATCAATTACAGAAGATAGTTAAAACTGCCACTGGTTGAAAGTATAAATAAAAACTAATTGCTTTTAAGTAGGAATTACAAACGTTAGAGCAGTATTTGTTTTACGTTAGGGATGTTACGTATCTTTAACTATACATTTGAAAGGATTAGGTGATTTAATGGAGTATAAGTTCAAAGAGGCTTTTATACCTACTCTAATCTTTAGTCAAAAGTGCACTCTAAAGTGAATGTAATGAATGAATAAATTAATTAAAAATAGTTTTATTTTATAACAAAATGTATTTTTGTACTGGTCATGCAGATCATCTCTTTCACCTGGATATTTGGTCAGTTTTTAACATTAAGTAATACATAATAAAAATAAAATAAACTGCATTAACAAAAACTCGTAAGAAGGCGTAAGCCTTCAACTGCGTACACTCAAAAGTTGTCCACTAATAGAGATACAGATTTAAAAAAATTGTAATAAATTGAAACTACAAACGTTTTGTGTTATTTGATTAGCCCATAACACTCTAAAAGGTCAAAACTGAGAAGGTGAGAAGGTGAGAAGGTTGTCCGATAAACATCTGTATTACAATATTAATACAAAAATTGTGTTTTAATTTAAAAAAGATTTCACCCATAAAGTGGCAAAAAAGGCAAAATCACTCAAGTGACTAATGTAAGAATCCCAACTTTGGCAATATTTCTTGTTAGAAAGTGCGTCTCAAAACTCTTGTTCTTTAATGTTCAAAACTCCAGAGCTTTGCAAGACATTGTATTATAACGTACCCCACTCCCATTAACCTAGTTTTACTTATGAAGTTTGCTATTTTTAGTGTCTTCAAGTGGTGACGTTTTCAATGTAATTAAACAAAGTTTTCCCATCAAGCTTTAAAGTTGAATCTGTATAATGGTGACTTATTAAATATTTTACAAAGTATATCGAATAAATTGTATAACATTAACTCAGTTAATGGAATGTATTTCAATTTCACTATCATTTAAAATTTTCTAACCTGGTGCAATCCTATTAAATTTTAGCAACACATCGATAACAGAATGAAATCAATCAGTTATGGTTGTTGCTTCCAAGAACTTTTCTTTCTTGTTGAGTTCAGTCATAAATATAGGCATCCGATGTACCTTGAGGTTTTATTTATTTATTGTGGATATTATTTTAAGACGATTTAGAAAAGTACATATTTTTTTAATTATTTTAAGCATTTTAAATAGCATATTTTTTAGATACATGTCTTGTGTATAGACACTTTTTCATTGGAAAACGAAATTAAAATCCCTGAGCTTTGTGAATTCTTTCTTTTTTTTTAAATGTTGATTAAAAAATTACCACCCCCCCCCCCCTCCCTTAAATAACATAATTAATTAACAAATTTTCTCTGTGCTTTTTAACCACACCATCTATTCTCGAATTCAATCCTTCTTCTTCTTATTTAATTTTTAAACGACATAGTTTTTAGGTGAGGTCGTTAATTCAGTTAGATAATTAACATATGACGCGTCGGACCTTTTCAGTTAATTCTCCACCCCTACTTAGTATATTAGGTCAGGTTAGGTTGGGTCAGGTTAGCACAAGGTCCGTAAACATATTCCTTATCTAACCTAACCTAATATACTAAATATGGGTAGTGAATTCACGGAAAAAGTCCTTTTTGAAACACAGTCCTTGTCACGATTGATAAAAACACACACTTAAACTCACATTTAGAATAAAAATACAAAAATAAAATACCAGACTAAAGTTCTCTTATTTCCGACGTTTCGCAGCACCAATGTCAACGTGCGGCATTGGTTGCTCCTTCTCATTCGCTCCTTCCTCATGTACCAGGTCTGGTGGCGGTTCTCTCACGACCCGCTCTCAACGAGTTGTACCTGATAGGAGTTTCTTACGTCATCATGGCGACGTTCCTCACTCTCGAGCTGTCTCTGAGCGTTTCCCTCAGCCCAGTTTGGGCCACAATGTTCTTCATCTACGTGACGTACGCGCTGCTGCCCATCAGACTCCAGGAGGCGGTGGCCGCTGGAGTGGTCCTCAGCTTGGCCCATCTGCTGTGCTCTGTCTACCTAGCTGCGGCGAAGCCCGTTCATGGAAAAGAGGTATGGAAGATCTCTAGCCACAAACCCATATCGAAATGTGGCTTGGAGTCTAGTTTTTGTGTAACCTACTTGTATAAGCTATTGAAATTGAATTGCCATTGATTTTCTTCTTTGGTTGTAAGCCCAAGAATGAGTTACAATTATACCTTACATTATATATTTTTACAAAGTAATCCAAATAAAAATGTTCAAGTGGGGTTGCTCTGTTGGCAGCACCATGAACTACGGGCCAAGGTCAGGGATGTCGTGGGTTTGGATCCTCGTACCTGCCACTATTTTTTGTCAGTACAGTTCACCAATGTACTGTACCGGCTCACCCCTTGCTTTGCTGGAGGATACACATACACAAACCTCTGTGGTAATGTTGACGGGCAAAAGCAAAGTGAAGGGGTTACCAACCTATTTGAAATCCAGAAAGTTAACAATAAATTCTAGACAATATGTTTTATGTAAAAAATTTAAATAAATATAGCTTTAAAAAATTAAGAATTGTCTATTTCCACCCGGAAACAGCTGAGTTTAACGAAACAGCTAATGCTGACAGCCGGATGTGCAACCGTCAACTTGTTGTTACAGCAAACTTTGCAAGATGACCACTTACTGTTAATGGAGACACCTTGTGATGGTGTGAGTTTCATGTCTGGGTGCTGAAAATACGACCACACCATTCAAAATTATCGTATTCAAATTCTGTTTCATTGTAATCATTGATTAAGTGAACTTCTCCTCCTTAATCTAATGTTAAAAGATACATTTTAAATGTTATGAACTAAGAATATCTTGAATTAATTCTACTTCATTTCAAGTTTCATGATACATATATATATTCATGATCTCTAATATTTTTTTAAAATTTAATTAGTAGTATTATTGTCATCTTAAATTTAAAAAAATAATCAGCGTCCCAATTAACATAAGTTATTATGTATCGGGATATATAACTCTATTGTTGGTTCTAAAGTATTTTTAATTTTTTTTTACATTTAAGAGTTGGTTTATCAATATATAAAATCGTTCTTTAGGTTACTTATTAAAGACTGTTTACATAATACTATTCTTCTAAGTAGCAATTCCGTAACAAAATCATAATTAAATTCATCTTGTATACTGTAGAAAAGCGCATAGAACAAAGATGACATTTCTGGGGGGGGGGGAGGGTAACAAGAGTTAAGGGAACAGTGGTGGTTTTTTTTCTTTCTTTTTCTTCTTTTTTCGTTCTTTTTCAACGACCTATTAGGCATTTTTACCAGCCGAGGGGTCAGAAAGCGTCAAACACTCCCCGGGAGCCTGCCCCTCCACGCCTACAAGCTCCGCCCCAAAAGTCGAAATACGTGTCATCCTTTCGACTGTCTTAACTACCTTTCGGTATGCAACCGTCAAAAACACGAGTTAGTCCATATAAAATGGTGTTATGTGACAATATGAAGGTATATCATTCTATTTAATTGTTTACAGTTCCTGGCACAATGTGTTCTGCTAGCCTGTACGAATGTTGCTGGAGTCATGACACACTATCCTAGTGAGCTGGCCAAGAGACAGGCATTCCTGGAGACTCGTCAGTGTGTGGAGGCAAGACTGACAATTCAGCGGGAAAACCAGCAACAGGTAAGCTGTTTTTTTTTATTGAACGTAGCTTAAAAAAGAATAGTTACTACTCCTGTTTAGAGTTATTTTTATGTTTTGCCTTATTGAACTTTGCATGTTAGTTTGTTAATTTTTTTTAAGAGAGGGATCTAATCAAAGTAATAGAGGAAATTAAAGTTAGAGATGTTTACTATGCGTATCGTATTTTGATTTAAATTTTAAGGAAAAGACGAGTAAACGATAAAAATGGAATGAACGAGATAATTTGTTCAGGGGTCCCCTTAACAGTTGAAAACCTAGGTTTGGTTTCAATCATGGCCATAGGGGCTGTATATAGGGGCCATAGGAATGTTTCAAGAATTAATTGTCAAGCTATGTGTGATCGTGAATAATTCGATAATAAAGTTCCAAATCCATGTGGAAGACTGTTTTAAGGATACTTAAATTATTTTGCTAAAGCTATTTTAATTGTAATATCCGATTTAAATGTTTTTCAGAATTATAAAAAATATTAGTATTTTTTTTATATTTCATATTTCATATTGTTATATTTCATAATATCCTGATAATATTATTTTCACAAAAACTTTGTGTGGATTAAAAGCCAATTATAGATAGATGTTTATTGAAAAATAAAACCATTAATTATTTAACGCAATGTTAAATTAAGGTATTTAAATTTAATTTTATTATTTAAAAAGAATAATTTACACAGTGGTTTTTATGAGGAACTATGTAATTAAAAAGTATGATCGTATTATTTGTTCAAACTCTTATTTGAAACTGTTTAGAAGTTATGTGTCTGACATTGGTTAATTTGATTCCGATTCTTTGACTATAAGATCAAAATATAATTCCTTGAATCAATTTCCATTACAATGAACCTTTTGACTTTGCACCGTTTTTCCTTCATCAGAAAGTGACGTCTAACAAACTGTATAGATACACCTTGCCTATATTAAAACGTTTGTCATATTTTTAAACGCTTTGTTAACCCATAAACGAATTTCTGTGGTTTGAAAAATTAATAATACTGTACTATTTTGTTTATCTCAAATTTCCATATATATTTACTGTCTCGTTAGTTAACAGTTTAAGTGTGAACATATGTTTCAAGTGTTATTAGACGTACTGTATATTCTATATCATAACATTACGTACATTCTATATATTCTACTTCCCATATCATTACCAATAAATTGTGATTATTTTTATTACGACAGGATTCCTTTTTAAAACTAATACTTTTAAAAATAAATCAATTCATTAAAGACACGATACAATCATAAAAAGTCTAAAATACCTAAAAAAACTGTGGTTAAACCGAATCAATTGAGTCATAGAAAATAAATTATTGATACTTACAATATATTTAATATAATCAAAATCATACAGTATTAGACCAGCATATTTTTTTTATAAATTAACAAAAATGAAATATAAGTGCCTTTTACGTATAAAGCTATTCAGAACACTAAAGATTCAATAAACACTAAAGATCGTTTATAAGCAGACATTATAGATTTGTGACAATAAGGGAAACGCGTTAACCTAAAGACCAAAAAAAGAAGAATAAGAAATTGGCCGGGAAAGTTAGATCCGCTGTAATCACCTGAGACCGACTCGGTCCCCAATCCCGCTGAGTCTTCTTCAATTTAATTTCGCCACCTGCACACCCGGAGTTTTCTAATATTACTTTTCGTTGCCGCAACTTTAATTTTAGATGTATCGTTATTTTTAACTATCATTTTGGTAGATTTACTTTTGTTAGGTTTTTTAGTACGTCATTTCATATTAGTACGCTTTTAGGTTGGAAATTGAAATAGCTTTTCTCCATGTTATAATGTGATTGTATTTTCCTTTTCACTATTTTTACTTTTTTCCGTTTATTTTTGTGTAAGTTTCAAACCAGTAGTATATAATGGAAAGTATTCTTCAATAATATGGGTTGCAGGCCACTAACTACTACCATCATCACTCATTACTAACTATGGTTTTGGCGCAATCACGTCATCAGTTCGAGATTGTGCAAGACGTTTCGACTTTTAATTTGTTTAAAGGCGTCCTCAGGCCCTGGGCTAGAAATCTCCGAGGCCAAAAAGGACCATAGGTTCTAGTTATTAGTATTAATTGTGTATACAAGAGTATTGTTAGTGTTCTTCCCTGACGATAGTGTTCTTTCAAACTGTATAAGTATCACTTGGAACTGCATAAGTTTGTATTTCTTATTTCTCAGCAATTCATTTATATTCCTAACAGTGTAGTAAAAGGTAATATAATTTCAAGAATAAAAATAGAAATCCGTAATCTTACCTAATCAATAATAGAATTGTTACTTGTTGTAATTTATAAAATTTTTTGTGTCTATGCTAATAAAATTTAAAATTAAAGTATCACGAACGATTTTTAAGGAAGCTAACCACTAGGTTTGAAACACCCCAAATACACTAATAAAATATATGTATTAATGTACATTTAATGTTTACATAGATAAATACTTTAAAAAAATGAAAATTCATTATTTTATTGAATAAAAAATCAAAAATCATATCTAAAATAAATACGCATGTCTCACAACAATATTTAATTAAATGTACGTTGCATTAATTTTTTTAATCCAAACAACATGAAAATACAAACGCAAATTATATGGCGATACTAAAGTCGGTTGATTGGTTATATGGTAAGGCTGAAATGCTAAGGGATAAGGAATAAGGCTTCAGGAAAGCCTGTCTATACTGGTGACATGAGCCGACATGTCTGTCGCAGGAGCGGCTGTTGTTGTCGGTGTTGCCGCGACACGTCGCCATGGAGATGAAGGCAGACATCGCCGGCAAACCACAAGACACAATGTTCCACAAAATATACATCCAGAAACACGAAAACGTCAGGTTAGTAATTCCACTAGTTTGTGGTGAGAACTTTACTTCGCATAGTGGTATAGTTAAATTAAACTTAGTTTGTGTCAGCAGGTAGTGAAATATATTAATTGAAGAATTGATTTTAATTAAGGACATTAGTTATAAGAAATGTGACTCTATTCAATGTATTCATGTAAATACAAAAAATGAATAAAGATTATTTGATTTGATTTGATTTGATTTGAAAACGAATTATGAACTTGAGGATTATTTCATGCAATTGAAATTCAAATATTAAAGATTGGTCACTTTGAAGCTTTGAATGTACAGCTTCAATTTATTTAATAATTAATGCACCAGTTAACGACCGTTTGAATGCAAAACGTCATTTTAAGCTACATTCTGCTGTCCTGTCACAAATGGTATTAAAAGCAACTTTTGAGCCTGACTGGAATCTCTCTGCAACTAGTAAAAATGCATTCATCCTTTTGCAACACAAAGATAATAAGTGTTCAACCAGTTCATCTTCAAGCTTCAATAGCACAGAAGTTCACTTGTAGCAGCAGTCGGTTACGGTTGTCCAATCCAATAATGTTAAATTCTTTTATAAGTAATCATAACTTTAACATTATGATGGTGGGTTTACTTCACGGTTAAAATAAAAGCATAGATAAAACATACTCCCTTTAAAAGGTTGTAGTGCACCACTATATTAAAACAGCAATGATATGACCAGTGAACACCGGCAACCAAACCTCGGAACTAGCTACACCACTAACCCACCATCACCACTACTTGCAACTCCTGTATGTGCCGTGGCTTGTCCAGCTTTCATAACACACAGTTTTAATAACTTTGTGTCAAAACATTGGATTACTAATATAAAACGGTGCAGTGTAATACTGTAAATTGTAAAGGGGAGTGAGCTGTTCCGGGCTTGAACTAATGTCCTAGGTTGTAAAAGTAGAACTTGTTTATAGAGATTGTAAAGGTATTGCTGATTTGGCAAGTCAAAACTATTATGAAATACGCCAACAGTTTACAATTTATTCCTCCATCACATATAAAATATAAATTTGCTATTTATGGGAACATATATTATATCATTTGTATTCCTACTTGGTTTAATAATATAAAACTGAACGTGTAAACTTGGACTAGTTTACTCGAGTAAATTGGTGTCTCAACTCAAAATTCAAACGAAACAGGCATATTGTTTAAGGTTTTTAATACCAAAAACATTATGCTCAAAAAGTTTGACACATATTTTTACTGTTTCAGTATCCTATTTGCTGATATTTGTGGATTCACGAGTTTATCAGACCAATGCACGGCTCAAGAACTCGTACGACTGCTCAATGAATTATTCGCAAGGTAAGACTGTTACTAAACAGTTAATTCTACTTTCATGAGCGATCTGTTTTTCTTTTCTTTAATTAATTGTACAAAGCCAACTCGTCATCGTTGGCTGTGTTTTAAGTGCAAGCACAATACTTATAAAATTAACATTAAGTATATTTTTTCTTAACCTCTCTTTAGAGTCACACATATTTTGCATTAAAATTCTAAACTTTATATCAACAGAAAGGTAAAAGTTTTTTTTAATTAGTATCCTAACTTACTAACTCTGGCATACCACACCTCATAACAATACATTTTCATTCAGGCCCTCGTGTGATTGTTTTTAATTCCATTTTACATCATCGTAATTTTTACATCACCTTTATTAATTCCAGGATTTATTATTTTGTATTTTTCCCTAAATTGGTCATACATTTTTTAATTGAATTTTAGTTTTTCATATTCCTGGAAACGAAATCTTTGTTTCTCAATGTACTAAAATGTTAAATGTTTAAATATGTGTTAATGATATACTTAGATACCACAGTCTTAACTTTAACACTGCAATTTGTATGGGAAAACAGTACAAACAATCATGGGTCATTGTGCCCTAACCACCAAGGTCAACATATCTTTGATACAATAAGTCTAACAAAAAAGTCCAAAAAAACCAGAGTCTTTGTCAGAACTAACTAAAAAATAAGGTAAAATTTCCTCACTTCATCTAATGTAATTCGTAAGGAGTGTATGAATAAAATAGGGTTTATGGTACAGGCAGTTCATCGCTAAGGTAAAATAACTCTACCCCATGTTCTACAAAAGGCATAACTGAAAAAGATAAAAACGTTAAAGAGATATGCGACTCTGTGGAAATTATCGTTAAGGTAATAAAGACTCGACTTGGGCAACACAATAAAGGTGGCTTCAATGTAATAATAAACCACACCGTCAGTGTAAAAATGTACCACTAAGGTAACACCCTCATAAAATACAAGTCTGGGAATTGTAAAACAAGAAGAAGTCTGTGTCATAATAATCTCACTGTTAATCTAACATAATATGGCTATTTCATGTATTGGGCTTTATTTGTATACAGGTTTGACAGGCTGGCCCAGGAGCACCACTGTCTACGTATCAAGCTGCTAGGAGACTGTTACTACTGTGTGTCAGGACTGCCAGAACCTAGACCTGACCACGCTCACTGCTGCGTGGAGATGGGACTGGACATGATCGACGCTATAGCGTGAGTCTTTTGAATATGAAACAATGACCATATCGTACTTACATATTAAGATTTTGCCACATTAACGTTCTCAGTAACACAGTCTAATGACTTAATACTGTGTTCCACACTGGGAATGGTGCATTAAAGAACAAATCTGTTGGAATGGGCTAGTTTTTATGAATTGGGGTGTCTCGCTAGGTATCCAAATGTAAACTTAAGTTAAATATTTTAGTTTTATTATAAAGTACTGAAAATACAAGTTTCTTTTGTTCATACTATTTATCAATATTAACTATATTATTATTAATTATTAAGAAGAACGAAATATTACTGATGCTTACTGAATATACATTTCATCTATTGTATATTGTCTATTTTTTATACCACACTTCTTCAAGCATTTAATTGCCAATTATTCCAAATTAAAACACATAGATTCTTGCTTTGTAATTGCAACTAAATTTCTACAGCAAAGCAAAGATATATCCATATAGTGTGGTACCAACGAAGGTAACATCTGTTATGCAGACAACATCTCTCATGCAGACAACATCTCTCGTGCAGACAGCATCTCTCATACAGACAACATCTCTCATGCAGACAACATCTCTCATGCAGACAACATCTCTCATGCAGACAACATCTCTCATACAGACAAAATCTGTCATGCAGACAACATCTCTCATGCAGACAACATCTCTCGTGCAGACAGCATCTCTCATACAGACAACATCTCTCATGCAGACAACATCTCTCGTGCAGACAGCATCTCTCATACAGACAACATGTCTCATGCAGACAACATCTCTCATACAGACAACATGTCTCATGCAGACAACATCTCTTATGAAGACAACATCTCTCATGCAGATGCAGACAACATCTCTCATACAGACAACATCTGTCATGCAGACAACATCTCTCATGCAGACAACATCTCTCATGCAGACAGCATCTCTCATACAGACAACATCTCTCATGCAGACAACATCTCTTATGAAGACAACATCTCTCATGCAGATGCAGACAACATCTCTCATACAGACAACATGTCTCATGCAGACAGCATCTCTCATACAGACAACATCTGTCATGCAGACAGCATCTCTCATACAGACAACATCTGTCATGCAGACAACATCTGTCATGCAGACAACATCTCTCATGCAGACAACATCTCTCATGCAGACAGCATCTCTCATACAGACAACATCTCTCATGAAGACAAGATCTCTTATGAAGACAACATCTCTCATGCAGATGCAGACAACATCTCTCATACAGACAACATCTGTCATGCAGACAACATCTCTCATGCAGACAACATCTCTCATACAGACAACATCTCTCATGCAGACAACATCTCTCGTGCAGACAGCATCTCTCATGCAGACAACATCCCTCATGCAGATAACATCTCTCATGCAGACAACATCTCTCATACAGACAACATCTGTCATGCAGACAACATCTCTCATACAGACAACATCTGTCATGCAGACAACATGTCTCATGCAGACAACATCTCTCATGCAGATGCAGACAACATCTCTCATACAGACAACATCTCTCATGCAGACAATATCTCTCATACAGACAACATCTGTCATACAGACAACATATCTCATGCAGACAACATCCCTCATGCAGACAACATGTCTCATGCAGACAACATCTCTCATGCAGACAACATCTCTCATGCAGACAATATCTCTCATACAGACAACATCTGTCATACAGACAACATGTCTCATGCAGACAACATGTCTCATGCAGACAACATCTCTCATGCAGACAGCATCTCTCATACAGACAACATCTCTCATGCAGACAACATCCATCATGCAGACAACATCTCTCATGCAGACAACATCTCTCATGCAGACAACACGTCTCATGCAGACAACATGAGTGTCATGTTCTGTTCCAGTTTAGTGCGAGACGTGATGGGAGTGAACGTCAACATGAGAGTGGGTATACACACTGGCAGAGTACACTGCGGTGTGCTGGGTCTTCGTAAGTGGCAGTTTGACGTTTGGAGCAATGACGTCACTCTAGCCAACGTCATGGAGAGCGGAGGCATCCCCGGGTATGTCAGTCAATAAATTGAATATAATTATAGCTAATTGATATGGATCCAAAAACAGGTCGTATAAAAATTAAAACTTCATCTATTTCCAATTGGTTCGAATAAGGAATTGCTAATTTGTGTAGATATTGGTCTAATTTTTTCACAACTTCTCCCAAGTATGTATCGCTTTAAGTGTTGTAGAGGTGTGGATACATTTGTAAATACACATATACAGACAGACAGAAAATCAGGCATAAAGTCTTACAGGAGAAGTATAAGGCTAATTATTGAGATCAGAACAATGTTGCTAATTAACTATTGAACTCATAACGTATTATAAACCGCTGTAACAAGGCCTGTTGAAGCCTTGTTTTGCGGATTACTATAGTGCATTATTTAACGGTAGCTACGTTTGTTTTGCTACGAAAATGCTAATTAACAAGGTTAATCTTATCTTAGGGTTTTCATCAAAACCTGAAAATGTTTTTATTAATTGGCCAAAAACTCGAATCAGTTCAAAATGCATATACAGTACTTTTTTATGTTTTTAGGCAATAGTACAGAAAAATGACATTTTTTTCAATTTAAGATGAAAAAACAGCCTAATATTTTTTGCTTGGTGAATTTGGCAGCACTGTCATTTTTATTATCCATAGGTTATTATAGAAAATATTATATATATTTTACTTAAAAAAAAAAAACATGTTATCCATTGGTAGCCTCCAATGCATCGATTTAACCTTTAAGATAAACATGTCACAATTCCAAAATAATATTCCTATGCCACAGCCTTGTACCAAATCGCCATCAAGCAGTAACTGTGTGCTATATTCTAAACACTTATCTTTTCCTCATGACAATGAATTCTTTAGGAAATTTGACTGTAAACTGATAATTTACTCCGTTTCCATTCAGGAGAATACACATTACTAAGGAGACGCTCAAGTATCTGGACAATGCTTACAAAGTAGAGCCTGGTAAAGGAGGAGAGAGAAACTCCTACCTGAGAGACCACAACATCGAGACATACCTGATAGTCCCTGGAGACACCTTTCGTACAGTAAGTTACCTGACAAAATATTGACAGTAAATTAGCCTGTAGTTTTAAAATTTTTATTTTTTACCTAATCGAGGAAAAAAGGTATACTCTAAGGATTAGCATTACGATATTACGAATTGAGGATTGATGGATGTATTGGTAGATTTTCATGGCAGTATAGATTAATTGGCCTGAAAAATTTTTGAAACACAATCTTTTCTGTAACTTGTTTTTTAATCAGTATATTTAGTACTCGTAATCAATCAGGGTTCGTAGCATTTCCTAACAAAAAACATAAAAAGCTTATAATTTTGCCTCTAAAATACCCAACAAATTCTAGTCTTCGTATTCAATATATATAGTTTAGATTTACTAGGATAGCTTATAAACAGCTAAAAGTAACTAAAATATGGTTTTACACTTGGAACTATCACTATAAACTAAATTATTCGATAAGAGTGGTATCATTCTTATTCTTAATACAGATATTGGAAGAAATAATACTTTTATTGTCACTGAACTTGAACTTATTGCAATCATGCTAATTATAGCCTATTAGGTGTCCATAAATGAACTTTACTTGTCAAATTAAAAGATTAAGTTAACATTTGACCTCTGTAGTAAAACTGCTATATTGAAGCTTGAAATAAATTCATGTATAAAACAATTAGATCATCTTCTACGATATACTTTATAATAATAAATGTAAATATTAAAAATTAATTCTCATAACATGTTTAATATGTATGAAATTTCTGTCAAAGTAACTTTACTTTAGTTACACACGGCCGAATATAGTTAGTGTTTGAGTTGAGGTCAAAGTTGAAGTGGAATGTCGTTGTTTAATGTTCATGTTTAACTTTATTCGCGAACCCCTACTCACTTTTCCCATTTGCTAAATGTTTCGTATGAGGTTTCAAACTGCTTAGCACAGCAAATGAAGAGTAATTTTGACATGGTTTACCTTTGAATTTAATGCTGAGCTGTTTGCATCAACTAACAGTCATGTTAAACACTGTAAACTACATAATTTAGGTCTCCACTGATTAAAAATTGTTGCGATTATTTATAAAATTATTATTTGTATGATAACTCAGTCGTTTCTTTATTACTTTTTATTTCTTGCAAAGTTCATTCAGAGGACGAGTAAAATAGCTAAGTTATTAATATGAGACTGATGGCTTACTGTGGCTTACTATTATGAAATCATATTCAATCCATTTTAGTGGCCCACAGTAACCAATGTATTTTATTGGCTTTCAATAAAGATGAATAAAAGAATTCCCTCTGTTAACCTACCTAATTTATTGTCCAAAAGATAGTTAATTGCACTTACTTTACATTTTTTAGAAATCGGTTTGAACTAAGCTTCATTTAACATTATATTTGCTCGTTCATGTGAGTACCTCTGCGTGAAATTCATGAATCAAAGCAAGTGTAGTTGACACTGATAAATTTAAAATGGTTTCACCGGAATGTGGACATGCTGTTCACAATTCGACGCACTACTGAGTCGCCGACTCGACAATTAGTTTATTTGTTAATTTCTAGTTTGCATTCCTCTTCACGTTGTTGTATGATTAATGTTCTATTTGGAAAAACAAACAAATTCTACTAGAAACCTATTTACAACAATTTTTAACAATCAAAATTATCGTGAAGAAGATATCCCATTACCGGTATTCTATTAAAGTTTTTTTTTTTTTCAACGACTTTTATCCGAAAGTCTGCTGCTGTAAAATCACAGTTTTCTCCCTTGAACACCATTTTAGTCACGTCGACAAGAACAAGCATATTCTATTTCACTAATAACACCTTGTATGATAAACCTAAAAAGAGAATGTAGATGGAATCACACATCCTTCGATAAGCGTATTCAACGATGATCTCTTTGTGTAGAAAGCTGAGCTTTAGTAGTCCAAGTATATACAAATTGGATGTTGATAGTGATGTGGGCCGGGTAAATACCCAGTAGGTAGGTAAATATAAATTGGGTATTTACCCCAGGCCCGGGTAAATACCCAAAAACTGGGTATTTATAATTTGTATTAAAGTTAGAGAAGATTGAGATGTTTTTTTGCAATTATTACCCTGTAAGGATAGTAAAATGATAATAAAATGTGTTAAACAAAATTTCATATGGACACTACCACACTACTAGCATTTTACTTCTCGGTATAATCACCATAAATACCCAGGTCTGAGCATAAAGCATAAATACCCTGGTCGCATGGTTGCACTGGTCCTGACTACTTATATATATTTTTTTTTATTTCAATGATAGATAGATGAATTTATGTTACTGAAAGTAAAGAAAAATAATTTGTAAAGTACTAGTTATTATTTAGAAAAATAGGAAAATTTTAACCTAGTAGTGGCCTATGTGTAAACAACTTAAGAAAATAATTAGAATTCAATCTGTAGGATGGCAGGATTTAATAATATTTTTGTTCTAGATCTTTTGTTGGTATCAATGGTATAGAAAACTAATTTCATAAACTTGTGATACAAATTTTTGGGGACATCGGTTTAACCGGAAAACCCGTTATCCGGACTAGCCTCGGTCCCGAGGAGTCCGGATGAGAGGGAGTCTACTGTACTTTCAGTATTCTGCCATTCTGCCTATGTCAATCAGACTTTGGGTCTGTCTAGCCTTCACAGCCATTTACACAATACTAATTTTAACTATCATAATTTAATAGCAGTAGAAGTAGGTTTAGGTTCACTATTTCTCTGGTAGGTGTTGTCTTGATTTCATAACAAAAAAGTGCTAAATCATTCAATAAAAGGAACTAGCAAAACTTCAAGTTACTGTAAAAGGTGTTATAGACTATCCTAATTTATCATGTAATGATAACAATAACATATTTAGGGGTAAATTAAATATGAATTAATTTTAATCGATTTCATAAATACCCAAAATACCCGGGTATTTCTGGATTATGGGTATTTACCCCGAGTTTTAAATACCCAGGTATTTTACATCACTAGATGTTGAGTTTCAAAAGTCAATGGTTCATCTTTTATACTCCATTCAAAATATTTAGGTGTTTGCATATTTAAAGAAATCTATTCCCTCCACTTTTGGTTCTACCTTTAAAACAATTACTGGACAGCTGAGGTTTGTCAAAACATAAATCAGCTGCAATATAAAAATTAAGCAAAAAAGTAGTGGGGGAACTTCCCCTTTAAACTGCCTAAATTTTGTAAATGGAATATACCAATAGTTTAGCTTAATTGAATTGAAATTGATGGAATAATTCATCAATATTTTTACATCTTAACCAGCACGGGTATCAGCAAAATAAGCTTTTTGTCTTAAAAATGTTACTTTTTACTTTTTCATCATCTTTGCAACCTCTTGACTTCCAGAATCAGCAGCCCCTGAAGAAGCCAGGCAGTGGAGGGTTCACGATGAACGGGAGTGTAGCGAAGGAGTTGCGGGTGATGGGACACAGTGCTCAGGCTTCCAAACATAACAAGTAAGCATTATCCTTTGTAGACCGTTGGTTAATACCAAACTATTTAAAGAAGTGCTTTAGGGACGGGATGATAACATGCAAAACAATTTCGTTTTGCCTTGTTATTTATCTAGTGACTATACAATTACGTTGTACAGATAAACATAACTCAAATTGTTATTTGTGGTAAAAATGTGTCCATTTAATTTTCATCCTTATTTTTACTGTTTACAAATCAACATCTGAACTAGATACATTTTACTACCTGTGATTGTTTCGGGCAGTGAGGGGTTGAACTAAATCAGTAAACCTTCAGATTTGCTGCCTAAATGAGCTATGTCCTTTGAGTGGGTTTTGAATTCTAAAATCAACTTAAAAGACACTATTTTATCTTAAATTTAGAAATAAATTAGTATTATTTGAAAAAAGATCTGAATTACTGATTTTGTATTACTCTTAGAAAAATTAATCAGTATTTAAAAAAATTAAAATTCAATAAATACCCTCTAAACTATTTAGATTAGACTATTTTATGGCACTACTTTCATGTCAACAGTTTAACATAACAGCATGTTTCATGTTAACATAACTCACAACATGTTTCGCCTATTTAGGCATTTTCAAGTGATATCCTTGCAAGAATATTCCGATGAAACACTATGTGTAGTATGTTGTGGATCTAAGTAACATGTTGAACTGTTGCCATGCAGGAATGTACCTGATAGTATTTTGATTAGTATTTCAATATTGCTAAAAGTACAGGGAATCATAGTATAAATGTACAACTATTTAAGTTTATATAGGCTATAAACTTAAATAGTTGTACTATTTATGTTTAGACATTTCCCGCGTCTTAGGCAGACGCGGGAAATGTTTTTGAGTCAAGGGGTTTATTTAATCTTGGACTCTAACTTGGAGGGCTTTGGACTCTAAACGGTAAATATTATATCGTTTATACGCGGAACTTCTCCTTCCGTGCTTTAAACATTTGTTCATTGGTTGTACTGTACAGGCTCGGCTTCGGGGAGAGTATAGAGGAAAAAGATACAGAAGATGAAGTCAATGATTATCTGATGAGAGCCATAGACGCCAGATCCATCGACCGACTGCGAGCAGAACATTGTCACTCGTTTCTGTTGCGCTTCCGGAAACCGGAAATAGAAGAGAAGGTAATATTATGGAATTGTAGTCATGTCACTTATTCGAGGGAAAAGTTTGATTGTATCTCCAATTTGAGCCTCTACAACTTTCCTCTTAATTTTTTTTCTGTTCTTCCTCCAGTACTTTTGAAGATAGTATGTATGTATGTATGTATGTGTGTGTAGTATGTATTTAATGTGTGTTTTGTGTTGATAGTAGTATGTGGCAATATATGACATGAGAGTTCCTTATCTTCATGTTTATATTTAAGTAGACTCCTTTTAAAATGAAATATTCTTGTTCCAGTACATGAAGGAGAGAGATAGAATGTTGAAGACGTATTTCGTCGCGTCTTTGTTTATTTATCTCGCAATAACCGCCGTCCAGCTTCTCGTCCTTCCACAGTAAGTATCTAATGAACTCTTCTTTAAACAATATATAAATACCTTTTTTATAATGAGTTTAAAATTGAAAGGAAAGAATTTTATAACAAGTAACAGTTGTTAACAATGGGCAGAAAAGCAATGTACGAATTGGTGAAATAGTATTGTCTTTAGGGCATTTCATTGGTGAACATAAAGTATGTGTGCTGTGTTAGGGCTGAGTTACTTTCATTCTTTTTTCATGCAAATTGTTTTAAATCTGTCTTTATTTTTTTTACATATATATTAAACCAATCTCTTCAAAAGTAGTAGAATGTTAATGGAGATACTGATCTACAATTTAATAGAAGTATTTTAAAAGTAATAATATCAATAAGTAGATTAATACAAGTAACACTATAATAGAAATAATTTAAATTACTTTTAACATTTTTGTAACTCAAAACATGTAGGAAAACTAAAAAAATTATAAAAAACCTAAAACGTATTTAACATACCCAGTTGCAATCACAGCTTAATCGTTATAATATGAGCTGTTAGATAATGTTTCACAAAAGCAATATGAATAGAAAAATTGTGAGATGTTTTGTACAATACATTGTTTTATTTTAGGCTATAGTGTTTTGGAGCTTATTCCTTGAAATGTGAGTGGGCAAGTATATGTTTAGTTAGTGTTGCTCTATAAAATATTACCCGCAGCACCAATGAATCGATTATCAAATTATTATTTCACCACTACAATTGTAATAATTAAATTAAGCTTTGAACAGTAAAGTTAACAGAATTCCCTTTTGACTCTGTTACTATCAAATTACTAAACTAAACAGTTTATTGTAGTAACCATTGATGATAAGGTTTAATAACATTTCAATGAGTTACAAACATTTTTTTACTTTTTCTCATTCCAGTTCTGCCCTGCTGTTCATCTGTTTCTTGATAGGCCTAGTGTACATTGCTGTCGTCAACGCTGTAGTTATCGCCGAAAACACGAAGGTATGAACAAATATGACAATAAGAATGTTAAGCTGGGAAAATGTTATTTTTTGTGTAATTTTACAGTTTTAGTCTATAACAAAAACCAACCCATTTTTAATGGTTTTGTTAGCAATACTGTACAAAACCGAGTACAACTTATTGACGTTTACTCTCAACAAGGTTCATCTTTGTCATTGATTGTCTCAGTGAAATATTCTTAAATAATAAGCATAGCCTGAGTACTTTATAAAACACATTTTCTGAACTGTATAAACATACCCAAATACATCGAAACTAAGATAACAATAAAAGAATATGTACAAAATGGTCTTATACAGGGTGTTTCAGTAAGGCGTAGCGGACTAGGCAGATCCAGATTCTACATGCAAAAATAAGTCGAAAATGTAGAATAACTTTTTTTCGATTTCGGCTTAGTTTAGCCGTAATCCACCATTTTGTATTTTTTTTATAGCTCAACAACCTTAAAAGATATTTTTATGAAACTTGATATAAACTTTAAAGCTACAGATATTAACATTCTCCGAAAATATCTTTGATCAGGCTCATCGAATTTCAAAATGGCGGCCATTTAAAATTTTTAAAGTCAAATTCCATGAAAACCAGCAATTAAAACTAAATTTTGAAATACGTTATTTAAGTCTTTTTCATTACAAATCGAATGACACTTTATTTGCGAAAATCGGATAGTAAACAAGAAAGTTATATAACTTTCATAATGTTTTTGTCACTAGTTTCTATGGAATTTAACTTTGTGATTTTAAAATGACCGCCATTTTGATAATTACTATTACTAATAAAAGTTGCATTAATACTAAAAGTTACATAACTTTTTTGTTTATCCTCCGATTTTCACAAATAAAGTGTCATTCGATTTGTAATAAAAATGACTTTAAATATTGTGTTACAACATTTTATTTTAATAGCTGGTTTTCATGGAATTTAACTTTAAACATTTTTAATGGCCGCCATTTTGAAATTCGATAAGCCTGATCAAAGATATTTTCGGAGAATGTTTATAGCTGTAGACTTAAACTTTATACCAAGTTTCATCAAAATATATCCAAAGGCTTTTGAGTTTTAAATTATTAAAAAAAAATACAAAATGGCGGATTACGGCTAAACTAAGCCGAAATCGAAAAAAGCTTATTCCACTTTTTCGACTTATTTTTGCTTGTAAAATCTGAATGAATCTGCATAGCCCGTTACGCTTTACTGAAACACCCTGTATAGTTCCAAAAATTCAAAAATATGGTTTCGTTTACCATATTGTTCTGATGTGATATGCGTTTTCAGTACTCTATATCACCGGTTTTAATCGTACTTATTAATGCAGAACAATCCACTGATAAACAAAGACAATTTAAGGATATTTTATCCCACAAAGCTAGAATAATCCAGAGAATAAAGGAATTTCTTTGTAAAGTAAAGTGTGTTGAGTATAAAGTAATCCTTTTTGATCGTATAAGCCAATAATTATTCATTTCCCTGCACTTTGCGTTTTCCAATAAATTTATGTGATAAGTAGTTTTAGAAAAATATTAACAGGAGGTACATATTAAAAGGGTTTTGCATATTTGAAATACGTTTACCAAAGCATTGACTATAAAATAAAACACAATGGGGAGAGACAGGGTACTAAAATGATTAGTTAAAATCTTTATGGTTTTCCTGGGATAAAAATAATCATATTAACTATAGCATGATGACTAAATAAATATAAAATGGTAAAAATACAAGAAGTTGAGTTATACCGGATGCTGGTATTTCATAAAAATCCTCTATCTGTGAATAATGTTTATAATATTATTTTTTGCCTCTTTAACGTTTTATGAATATAAAATTTTGTTTCTAATCTTATTAATTTATACAGTATCATATGTAAAGCTTAAACACACATTGTGAGTGTATTTTACCCCAAGAATAATTCAAAGGGTATAGTTGAAAGAATTGTAAACATAGCCTTTGTAAATAGTAATGCCTATTAAATTTTATCTAATCCTTCTTATTATCGGTTAAGGAAATGCTGTTTGCACTTTCATATAGCTAATATATGTGGTAAATAGTTTTCTTAACAAAACAAATTAAAATGACGTCCATGCAAACACTTTTGTGTCAATGAAATGCGTATCAGTATCCAAGAATAACACAATGCAAAAAGACAGGATGATTAAAATATTTTTTTTATTTCACCAATCTGTAACAAAACTTGCCTTTTTTATCAAAACGAAAACAGTATAAAATATGTGCAAACCAACAAGGGAAAATATACATTTTTTGTTATAGATGAGTCGTAGATAATTGAAATATATATTTACTGTTGTAGTTCGGTTGAGTAGATTTTAAATAAATTATTACATTGCTATACGCATATGTTATTTATAGTTTTATGTGATTACAAGCAATATAAACTTCATAAAGTAAACTTTTGTGAGTCACTTCTCTTCCTCAACATTTATTACAACACCACTAATTTAATTATCTTCCCAATAAATTTTACAATCATTAAAAGTCGAATTAAATTGATGAATTAATAGCATCAATAACAAACAAAACATATTTTATGAACTATACCTTAATTTGTTAACATCTAATTTATAATTTTAAAAAATGTATCTTCTATACTAGTTATTTGAATTATTTATTTGGCAGTTCAGGTATTAAAATATTTAATGCTCAAACCGATACAGCAGCATTCTTTTATGAAATATAAACAAACAAAAACAAATTTTGTGGAAGATAGCTGGGGAACGAGATCATATTCATAAAAGAATCCAATTACACACACAAAAGAGATGCTTTTCAATCTAAAATTGGTATTTGAATCAAGCGATATTTCCATTCAAACATATTGTAACATGAATTTTTATTAAATTTGTATCATTGATATTGTATCTTAGGCAGTTGCCAACGCAATATTAAACTTCGTTATTTATAAATGTATGGGTATATAATTTGTATTTTCATATCGCACCAAACTTACATCGGATAATACATAACAGTCTCCAGTTCTAAGTATATATTAACTGTGTATAATGCGTTTCAGAAATTACATTAAACACTTTGATTATATTTACCACTCTAAAAGTTGAAGGTTTTTGTGATGTATTTTATATCCAATTGCGTTTCAGAGAGTTTATATATACTAAATGTATTCCTAGTTTTGAAGTAAAGTTTGGAAACCAATTAAGAGTCTATACATGGATAATTGCAATCAAATGTTTTAGACAAGGAAAAATTACAAATAATATTTATTTGTAATTTTTCCTTTTAATATTTACCATTTTATTATTAAATAGTAACTATTAAAACGCAAAAACATAAGATGAACAACTAAACTGTGCCACCATTGGTATTTGAAAACAATTATAGTTAGAGTAAACATTAAACGTAAAACATCAACTATCTTTTTAGGTCATATAATTACGAATTCCACTTTTCGAAATTAGCTGCCAAATATAGTGGGTAACTTAAAGATTCCAAGTATTCTATAATTTTTCAGAATATGGCTGCGATTGTAAGACATATTAATCTGTTAATTTCCTTTCTAAGCTCTTTTGAGAGCTACAGGATGCAGAATGTACATAGAAATCTAATTATTCTGAGGTGTAACACGCCGTGAGTTATAAACGAGTGTCTTTAATGAAGTGAAGAATAAACCCGTTTTTAAATTGTATACGTATTTTAAAACAATCTAAAAAGAAAAATTGTTCAATTATACATTTTGAAGTTAGCTACGACATATGAAAATGGTGTTCACTTTTGAAAAAAGTGGAATTCATATTTTTTGTGTCATAAAAAAAGTCGAAGCCCCTAATTAAGTGCTATCTCTAAATCTAATCTTTTATGAGATACTTATGTTGGCACAGTTTTTCACTCTGAACTGGAGGTAAACACAACTTAAATCTGAACATTCAGGGTGAATCTATTAGGGAATAATAATGTTTAATGGCTGATTCCAGGGGTATCAAAATGTCAATTTGCGCCTTGTTTGTGTCTTGTAAACTATTAAATAAATTAACTCAACAGCTGAGTTTAATAACTTGTATGTCACTGTGCTTACAGTGACTGATTTCACGACCCAAATAGTCAGTCAAATGGACATATCTAATTTATGTAAATATATAAATGTTTATTATAATAATCACATATATTTTTCCAGAAGCTTCCACCAAAACTAAAAGATGTTTCTAAAATGGTCCACGAGAATCGATCCCTGGCCCAGCTTCTGGCAGCATCTGTAATCTTTGCTACTTTGCTGTTAACAGTCATACCAATGGTAAGTATGATTTTTAGTAAAAAAAAATTAATCTTCCTCTATTATCCAACATACTACCTTTTTTGTAAAAATGTTATAAAATTGAGAACTAGTGTTTCTAAAGATTTTTAACAAAATTTTCTGTCCTAAAAATGTTAACTTTGATGGATTATGTAACTTACAATTATATGTTTTATTTACAAATTTTAAGCTATTTGTTGCGAATTTGTTAAGCTAATTCATGTAATTCGTCGAATCCCACAGGTAGCCTCAAATGCGTGGTTGTGCAAGGAACCTCCCGACTTCAAGGAACCGTATTTCTCCAACGCCAATGTATCTTGGTTCTACAACTCTACTTTAAACTCCACCTTGGAGCCTGAGATGTATGTCAACTCCAGCGGGACCGACGTGCTGGGGAACTCCTCGGCGTCCCTAGGACAACCCTCCTGGGGGGCGGAGCACTGCTACACTGATTACAACAGTGTGCTTCCCTACCCGGATGTGAGCAATACCATTGTTATATGTATAATCCTTGCAAGAACCTTCTGCTGCAAGTTAATTATTAGTCACTTCGTTGTGTTAGCAATATCTTACAGTTGATAAATATATTAGCTTGTACACGCGGCTTCACCCGGGTACAACCATATATCATACAACGTAGGCAATAAACAGCTTAAGTTTAAACAAAAACATGTTATACAAATATATGCTTGACAGTTCCTTATATTTGTTTAATAATGTTATTGCTGTCTATGCTTTTGGTTTTGTTATGTTTTTGCTAACAGTTATACCACAGACTAAACACTACAAGACTAAGGGAGCATTTTTTTATGGTTATACCATTGACTGTTAGATACTGAAGTATTATTAATTGTCAAAGGTTATACGTAGTCCAGCATTTCCCCTAAAACTGTTCTAGTAAAGATTCATACATTTAGCAACGAACTAAGTATTTTCCCTTCATCACCATATAAACGCCTGCAATGTTGACTTGTATGGATCATTCATTGGAATCATTCAGCTTTTATCTAATTTCCTTATTTCTGTTTCAGTATATTCTCCTGTACATACTTCTCATCATGATCATGACAGCTGTTCACCAGGTGTTGATAAGTCTTGTCAAACTTATCATTCTCATCGTCGTCTCTTCAGTATATGTCATACTTTACCTTACGGCGCCATTTTATATTATGTAAGTACTGAAATTAGTTTATGATTAATGAGTGTTAACAGCTTCCATTTTATTATTACAAATTAAAATAATGAGTCGGTCATGCTTCTATTTTTCAAGGCTTCTACGTCGCACAAATAATACAATTTAACGATAAACAACTTTTTATAAATATATTAATTTTAAAATTAAAAATTTTAGTAAAGTTTTAACAAGTTATGATGTACTAGACCAATAACTAGTAATATTTTGGATAAAGAGTGTTTTGAATTTCCATCTAAGAATACAACCACTATTCTAATTCTTTGTCAAAGTCAGGGTTCGAACTTCTCATTGTTTTCTATATTAGTTTGGTGTTTTAGCATTAGCCAATAAGATAATTTTGTATGCCCATTGTGATTATCGATTATTTTGTATTGAACGTGTTTTCTCATTTTATATTCGATATTGAATATCCCTTACTGATTAGAAAATACAATATTTTTCAAAGATATTGAAATAAATGTCTAAATTAACAAATTTTAAAAAGTACCAAATAATATCGGGTATAGTTTTAGACGTTTTACCTAAATACTAACATATTTTTCCATTAAGTGGCTGCGAACGGAATATTTCTTTTAATATTCAAATTAGGTTAAATCAAAATCAAGTACAACAAAACTTAATCTACGAAGCTCCCAATATTTAATCAAAACACCTGAACAACGTATGAGCGAGTATCAAAACATTACTGAGCCGATCAAGGCTTTCGACAAACACTTGATTAAATGAAGTAGAGGATACATAACATCGCTTCATCAGAATATACGCAGGAAATGCGTTAAGGACCACTAGCCTAAACTCATATATAAATCCTTTTTTCCGATTGGTTGTTTGATGTATTGGGTTCCCTCGTGTGTTCATGTACACTCAATTGACCGTTGTGTTGTGCATGTAAAGGATATTTATCAGCTTTTGGAAAGTTTTATACTAGCAATAATGTTTTATTTGCTAACAGTGTGATTTTCTGTTCGTCCTTATAGGAATTTTATTTAATACTAGATGTGTGCCCGTTCTACGCACGGGGATCTGATCATAGTCCGTTAAAACCTTCTTATATAAAGCACAGCAGTTGGTTTGCATACTTTCAGATATGCTGACAAAACTATTCCTTCGCAAATACAGTATCTGACAGTTTCAAGCCAAAACTAATGCTTCGCAATTAAATGTCACCCGGATCTTGTTGGTCCATATGTTATATCCAATGATTAAACTAAATAAACGGTATCAGCATTCTGACACATACTTTCTCCCATAAGTTTGTCAACAACCTTTATCATGTGTAAGCGGTGAGAGTAAATATACGGAAATGGGATTTGTACAATTTTGTTCAGAATTTAAAGGACTATAACATAATGGTTAAAAGTATTTAAGGTACTACCTCAACCTCTTAATTTAACACTTTATTCGGGTTAACATTTTCATTATCAAGGCGCTCTTGTCCTTTCCGTGAAACATTGAGAAACAAGGACATTAATGCGTTGCCATCATACATACACACAAAAATACCGAACTTAATTAGGGAATCTGCTACGCTTTAAGCATAAAAAGGTACATATAAAATTAGTACTTGAAATCTTTGTTAATGCCATAAAATTTGATCATAACAATTTATATTTGCTTGGACCGGAGATGACTCGAAATTCTGTCGAAATGCTATCTGAATCGGTTTGCTATATGAAATGAAGTACAGTAGGCCTACTATAGACGATTTAGATTGGTAATTTGTAATAAAAATTACCAAAATAGGCCACGAACTATTGATACATAAACAACGTTCAAAGTGTTTGAACAATTCATGATGGTTTGCTGAATAAATGTTTTACTAAAATGCGTTATAGCATAACGTTTTGGAATCCAGACAGAAAAAGCAAAAATTATACAGTTAAGACGTCAATTAAATTGAATAGGCCTACGTCTGTAATAAATAAGGTGCAACACCAACGATAACTAATTTGTAAATTACTGTGATGTGTTGGTACGTAAAAATGATTCTTGCTGCTACTAAAGGTTAAAAGGAAAAGAACCAGTACCGTACCAAAAACCAACGTTTACAGTTAAGAACTGTAGTACAGCCGACCAATTATATGCGTTAATCAAGGTTATTGATCTCTTGGTTTTGGATTTTCTCGTAAAAAGTTATCGGCAATCAAAGTTATTTCCCATTAATTGCTTTATTTGTACACAACTCTTAATGTAAACTTATCGGTGTCAGTTTGAAAAAAAACCTTATACAACATAACTTTCTGTTATTTAATAGATTACGTACTCTCTAAACAATGGTTGCTGGTATATATATTAACATTATAAGGAAATGTGACAAAAATCACACAACGTTGGGTTTTTGGACGTTTATAATTTTATTTCTTAAGTACCTAGGTAGGCCGTGTATTCTATGGAAAAGTACCGGTATCAAGGATCGTTGTCGAAAGGGTTGTTATAAATAATTGGGTAAGCATACGTACCACACGTACCCAAGAGAAGGGCTATGGGCCTATTGGCTGTATGGTCCAGCGATTGCATCACACGGTGAGTAGGAACTATTGACTTTATAGTCAATGGTAGGAACAGAAAGTGACACATTGGAAAATCGAGTTCAGCATCATCCGTAAACCTCTGTTACAATCACCCACTGCAGTTGTAATTTTTTGCTTACACTTTACACAACCGCCATTGAAGAGCCGTCAATGAGTGGAACATTGTTTCTAAGCTATTGGCGACGGTAATTAGTAAATTTAAGTTTCCCAGCCGTATACAACACTGATTCAATCTTGATTCAATGTCTTCTTTCTGGTTATCAAAACTCCAAAACAATTTTATACACATATTTCTGGTTCCTGACCTGGATGATGCCTAGTTATTTAATTTACGGTTACACTATATTATTCCACTTGCGATTAATTAAATCATTTATGTAATAAAAACGTTTATTACACTAATAATCTCACTTGGATGGGATTTGCCTTCAAAACGTGATCGGAAATGGTTGTGGTGTTTGTAAACAACATTTGTAAACATTTCAGTGACAGCTAGAAAAAATAATCTTGATCCGAACAGCTGTTCGTTGTTTCATAGATGATTATGTGATACAAATTGGAAGAAAACTTGACAAAAATCGCACAAAACTGCATTTTTGAACGGCCGTAATTTTAATTACAAAGTAGTGAGACCATATTTTAATGGCTAAAGACACTCTCGCCAATCCAGTGAATACATTAAAATGACTTGGGTCTTGATAGGTACTCTCGTTTTCCTGGAGAAGATTGCGTAAAATGCCATCTTGAGTGTTACAGACAAAGGGACAGACAGACAGACAGAAATTTAGATGAGACTTGTTTCGGCTTCTTTAATGTATAAAACGTAAAAATAACCTAAAAATGTATGATTCTGAGCAATGTACAGACAAAACTCTAATTTTATTTATATAGATTTGACGAAGGTTTATGTTTTATTTCTATTGGTTGTATACTATGTGATTTGTAGTGCAACGCGACAGTGTTCTTTCTTATTACGTTCCTTTAATTCTTAGCAAAACATATTTTAATGCGGAATTAATGTTATCGTTAATTTTGATTTACCCATAAAATTCCATAATATATCTAACGTAAAAATTGGATTTACACAAAAACTGCCTGAGAGATTTTATTTAAAATGTTGTTTAATAGCACAAATTAATTAAATTACTGCAACTTTTGTGATTTTCCTCATAAAATATCATAGTTATTTCCGCCTCTTACCCATGATACAGGTTGTTGACAAGCATATATGTTCATATATGAGAGATAGTATGTTTTACATTGCTTATATACCACTTATTGCTTTCCGTTTGAGTTTCCTACGTCAGGAAAATAAATTATGACTATCTTCATCTATCTTACATGGTCTTTAGGCTGGTGGTCTCTTCCAACCGTTGACTGGTCTGGCTATATGGGACTTTATACTTGGTTGCTTATAGACTTTGTTTGACAATGAAAACACATTTTGCCCGAATACCGATATTCTGAAACGCTTAACCCTAAACAACGCTTCTAATGCAGACTTTTGATACTGTGTGATCAGCTAAACCTCTAACTCATCAAAAATCTGCCTCTTCGGCTCTAAAGTTAGGTTCCCCCAGTTGTGGAAGAAAGGTTCATGCCATAAATGAGGTATGAACAATCAGTAAAAGATAATTTCTACTCATTTTGTGTTTAAATTAACAGTAGTGTGTTTGTGTGTGTAGCCAGGCAGATACTTGGCAGTTGTACCTGATGGTGGTGATTCTGGTTGGCTTCATGTTAGCTCTGTCCATTCATTCACAACAGACCGAGGCCACGTACAGGCTAGACTTTGTCTGGAAACTACAAGCCACAGGTGAGGGACTAGATCCATACAATCATTCTGTAAGTGCTTTCCTCAAGTTTCTTGGCATTTTTTTCCTAATTCTAGTGAATGCCTACAAGAAAATTCACAAGGAACAAGTGATTCTATTAAAACGCTAGATATGAAGGTCTTGATACTCGGTTGCTGAAGATTGCTAGTTTATTTCCTTGCAGAATTGGTGTTGGATCCAACAATTAATAATATTTTCTTTCCTTATTCAAATTTAATTGCACTCTAATGGCATATCCTAAAGCAGAGAAAATTCTAAAAACTTCGGAAAATCATAGAAAAATCCGGATTTATTATAATAAAAACATATCTGTGCTAGTGCGTTGATGCATAAAAAGATGTTTCTTTGTCCGTTTATAGTAGGAAAGCTTTAGCATCAAAAATAGTTTATTTGTAAGTTAATCATGTAGTATTTACTCAAATAAATATAATTGTCCTCAAATCCATCCCAACCTTTCCTTATAGAAACGTTATGATCAATACACACAATGTCCTTCAGCATTACTGGATATTCACTTGAACAATTCAATCTAAATTATAAAACTATATAGTTGAACTGTACTTTTCAATTTAGTATAGTAATCATTTAATTCTTTTAATTTTACCGTTTCTTCGATTTTAGAGGAGAAAGAGGACATGCAGCATTTGCAAGCATACAACCGCAAGCTGTTGGCGAACATCCTGCCTGAGCATGTCGCCGAGCATTTCCTCTCCAGTGATAAGAACTCCGATGTAAGCTTATGAATCTTTTCGTTCTGTAATATATATTTTAATACAATGAGGGTTAATTAATCTTTATTGATTATAAAGACTTATTATTTATATGATTAGGTGAATGTAGGAAAAATATAATGCGTAACACGTGTGCAAACTGCCTTTGCTGCTTGTACATTTTGCTTGTAAACATTTCTCTCGTGTGCAGCAAAGTGCCACTTTGCTCACTAGTTACACAAATAACTATTGTAGAGCGTAATTAAGCTTCTAGAGAATAAGTACGAAAAATAATTCATCCCTTTTCATAAAAAATATTACTGATGAAATCACAGTTCATTTTCTAAAAAAAACACAAGTTCAAGGTACATCATGGTATTTTTTTTTACTTCCAACGTAATATAAGTTACAATAAATTTCTCTGGTTTTCTTTCTTGAAAATTATATAATGGATGGTCACGGTCGCTGGAGTTTTGAAACAACGGTAGTTAAGAACTTTTAATTTAATCAAACAACTGTTACAAAGTGGTGAACCGTGCACTGTCGTTACATTCTGTCGTTCAAGAGAGTGTTTTATTAATTAAAATGTCCGTCATCTCCTCTCCAGTTGAATTATTCTTTCCGTTTTAACAGAATTCTAGGTGTTCAATGTTTTATTGCCAAAACCAGGGGTTGACTTTAATGTTTTTCGTATGTTATTCTGACATAGTTTCTCAATATCTGTTGTCTTCATAGAGATAATAGATTTTTTTCATTACAAACCGAAATACTTGAAAGAATTTAAAAATGTATTATTAGTGAATAAATCTATATCTATTTTAAGGTTCTCAAATTTAAAATAATTGTTAAATTTAAATATCAGTGTAATTTTAAAACATTACTTCCTTAAATCATGGAAATTCCACGAATTTGGTATATTTTCAATAAGTACACGATATTTTGACGTATTGAATCATTGTTACGTACATTGTATAATACTATTTAACCATCATAAAACATTCTAGGAACAAGAAACAAAACTGCACAGTATATCAGTGTTTTCTACGCATTGACAATATGATTTTAAAATAGGTATTGTGAATAAATATTTACTACAAAATTAAAGCGTATTGACAAACAAAATTGTAGTAATATAATTGAATACTGTTTGGAAAGAATTTCAACATGTGTTGAAATTTATGTATGAATTTATAACTGAAGAGAACATTGAATTCACGTTGAGACAATATTGAACTGGCAATGTAATCAGCAATATCTTCGATATTTTAACAACATTGAGACAACTTCTTGTCGGTTCTTTCAATTTCTTATCATTCTCCTTTACAACCGAAAATCTGTTATATTCTTCATGAGATTGGAATTTACAGCTCTGCATGTCCTTAAATGACATGCTCCTTAGTGTCTTTATAAGCGTCATAGAAAAAACTCAATGGTGTAAGCTATTCCAGATGGTAGCTTAAATCAACTTGCCAAGATGAAAAATAAGAACGTTAAGAATATCTTATGAAATTTTTAATAGTGATAGTCAACCAACAAATAACTAAGGTTATCAACTACGACAATAATTTGTCATTCACGGTAGATAAAAAATAACATCGGACTACCTCTTGATGATATTACTACTTTTAATATGACTACATTAGAGACAGTAGCAACCAGTAACCAAGTAGTAATTGGGATTAAACCCTTTCACAGCGCGGACTGAAGAGTCACCTCTCTTGGATCACAGCTGGTAAATTATTCCGCCAATAAGCTGACATGTTTATGGTTTATCTCTATGGCCGTTTGTCATCGCTTGTTCCTCGGTCCACGATTGTTGCTCGTAAACAATCCCCTGTGACTTTCCACTACTTTCTTATTGTGTGGTATTTATTTATTTGCACAATTGAATGTTATTACATCTTTAAAATATTACGTCTCTAACGTTTCATAACTATCAGTCACAAGAACAGTCTACGCAACCCGCATCACAACGGATGTTTCCGGTGTTCCACTATGTCTAGCACGACTATCTTCAGAACTTGGATTGGGCTTTAGTGGGCGTTGCTTCTCCAAAAAATAATTAAACTAAGAATTTATGTTGAACGTCCAAGAAGTTTTGCAAATAACTGAATACAATTTCAGGAGCTGTACCACGAGCAGTGTGACCATGTTTGCATCATGTTCGCGTCGATCCCCAACTTCTCAGAGTTTTACATAGAACTGGAGGGCAACAATGAGGGTGTCGAGTGCCTCAGACTGCTCAACGAGATCATAGCAGACTTTGATGAGATCCTCTCCGAGCCAAGGTTCAGTTCTATCGAGAAGATCAAGTCTACTGGAGCTACCTACATGGCTGCTTCAGGTAGGCCAAAGGTTTTATGCTCATCACTGCTTGTTAGTTTTATTTAGGGTAATTTATAACATTTTCCATCACAATCATTAAATATCAGGCACATGAGTTAACCTACAACTTTGCAACGCTCCTAAATAAGAAGATTTTTCTGTAGATATTTATCGAAGCAAGATTCCACCCCAGTTCAATTAAGACAAAAACTGTGTTGGCTTCTGTGAAATTCATTTTTATTTATCCACCAAACTTTGACCAGGCATAGTAAAAATTTGACCTTATCGTAAACTAAAGCCTCACGACAATATTAACTGCCAGGTATGACAATCTATAAGAGAAAATAAAACTTTAATATTTTCAAACTCTATAAAGAATAAATTCACTGATGATATGATGAGAAAAACTGTATGCATCTAGTGATGTTCAATAAAGGAGGGATTTATACTTCAGATTTGAAGGTAAATTGCTCTTCTTGCTGACTTACACCATGTAATTGTTTGTTGGCTACAGGTCTAACCAAGGCTACTTGTGATATGAAGGATCTGAACCACGTAACGGCAATGGCTGACTACGCACTCAGATTGCGAGAACAGCTCAAATACGTAAACGAACACTCATTCAACAACTTTAGAATAAGGATAGGTAAGCAATAAGACAATAGGTAGAATACAGCAGGTATGTAGGAATAGGTAGATAGGTAGACAGGAAAGGTGGAATAAGGAAAAGGTAAAATACAGTAGATAGGTAGGTAGACAGGATATGTGGAATAAGGATAAGGTAGAATATAGTAGGTAGGTAGGTAGACAGGATAGGTAGAATAAGGAAAAGGTAGATACAGTAGGTAGGTAGGTAGACAGGATAGGTAGAATAAGGAAAAGGTAGATACAGTAGGTAGGTAGGTAGACAGGATAGGTAGAATAAGGATAAGGTAGAATACAGTAGGTAGGTAGGTAGACAGGATAGGTAGAATAAGGAAAAGGTAGATACAGTAGGTAGGTAGGTAGACAGGATAGGTAGAATAAGGAAAAGGTAGATACAGTAGGTAGGTAGGTAGACAGGATAGGTAGAATAAGGAAAAGGTAGATACAGTAGGTAGGTAGGTAGACAGGATATGTGGAATAAGGATAAGGTAGAATACAGTAGGTAGGTAGGTAGACAGGATAGGTAGAATAAGGAAAAGGTAGATACAGTAGGTAGGTAGGTAGACAGGATATGTGGAATAAGGATAAGGTAGAATACAGTAGGTAGGTAGGTAGACAGGATAGGTAGAATAAGGAAAAGGTAGATACAGTAGATAGGTAGGTAGACAGGATATGTGGAATAAGGATAAGGTAGAATACAGTAGGTAGGTAGGTAGACAGGATAGGTAGAATAAGGAAAAGGTAGATACAGTAGGTAGGTAGGTAGACAGGATAGGTAGAATAAGGAAAAGGTAGATACAGTAGGTAGGTAGGTAGACAGGATAGGTAGAATAAGGAAAAGGTAGATACAGTAGGTAGGTAGGCAGGATAGGTAGAATGAGGAATGGGTAATGAACAGTGTGTTTTGACAATACGTTTATTTCGACATTACTAGTTTTATCCCTATATTTTTACCTAAACACAATGGAATCTCTAAAGGAACACTTTCCCTCTTCACCCGTCCTAGTTGGTAGCTTCTTTCTCAAGAACTTTTAGGTCATCCTTTCTCCTAATTAGTTTAGATTTCCTTTTTTTCAGTTTGGAACAACTACACAAATCAGTACATTATCAAAAGGTTTTGTATATTTTATTTAGAGTCGGTGGTATCAGTGCCCCTTACACTGTTCCTAAATGCAATGATTATAACAACAATACATAATATTGCATTTTTCTTTAGTCATAATCTGATTGATCTAGTAAGATATTTTAAAGAGCTATGAGAACCGGTGTTTTCGTAACTAGGCCTGTTTCAGTAAGTGTCATCTACTCATTTCCAGGTATCAACATCGGCCCTGTTGTAGCCGGTGTTATAGGTGCGAGAAAGCCTCAGTACGACATCTGGGGGAACGCTGTGAATGTGGCCAGCAGAATGGACTCCACCGGTCCTCTTGACCATATACAGGTAAACATTGTATATTTCTAACTTCTTCGGTCGTTTTCTGTACATATTATCTTGGTTAACACTTTACATTTAACTTAAACAAAGCAAATTCATGAGGGGAGTGCGCTATTCTCGAGTAGAGCTTGGGGCTTTGGAGCATGAGATACTGGGTTCAAATACCGCCAAATACCAATTGATATTTATCTGTGATAATGCCACGACACTTTAGAACTAGCCTGAAGTAATGAGTAAAACAGTGTTGGGCTAGAACCTTACATCCTAGTATGTAAAGGTGGGATTGTAAAATAAATATATATAAACAGTTTCTTTAAATTTTGCAAAGAAACATTTTATTTGTCTTTACGGATCAAAGTTCTATTGAACCCTTACTCTCCGACTGTATTAAAAGGTAATTTTATAACAATTAAACTATATTTCTAATTTTTCCTATGTAATGTATTTATATTTTATCTGTTAGACGTGGGAACTAAAAACACTTGAAGATCAATATCATTTTATTTTTTACAAAACTTTTTTTGAGTGATTTATTTTTACAGGTCACACAAGAGGTGTACCAGGTTCTGCACACCAAAGGTTACCCCATGACTTGTAGAGGGGCGGTGGAGGTTAAGGGGAAGGGGACGATGGTCACTTACTTCCTCAACGGGTACGCCAACACTACAGCGCCCCCCGCGCCCTCAGACGCCGTCTGTTAGACCTGCAACTACCGCGTTCTGGGGGTAATTGTATGTATATCTTAAACCAAACTCCACAGGAAGAAAGTAAATAGAAAAATGAATACATTAGAGAATTCTGTCATTTTTAGTCATGTCCAAATTTACTTTCATTTTAAAGTACTTTGGTAATTAATCAAAAAGACTAACGATCTTGTGGTAGGGGATGGTTTTAACTACTAATTTGTTGAGTAATTCTTTAAAACTTTAATGAGTCTTTCAGAAACTCTGTAACTAATGACTTGCGAGATTGGCCAAAAGTAACGAGTAAATCTCTAAGCTCTTTAAAAACGTTGAAATAAATACTTTGCCCCTTAAAAACTAATCAAACATTTATACATTTGTTATGTAAATCAGTAGTAATTTTACAGTTGCAAACATTATCGATACAGCTTATATTTTTCCTCTTTGATTTAAAATTTACTATTGTACATGAGATTACAATAGAAATAAGCTTTAAACTGATTAAATGGGAGGCACGGTTATATCGTTTACAATGTTTATGATTACTTAAAACATTGGTTGAAAATACCAAGTGAATCTCTCAATCCTCTTAGTATTTTATTCTCAATACTACGATCCACTTAAATAAATGACAGATTCTGACACTGATTGATAAAGCGACATTGCACTTAATACATTGGGCCATCCATTAAAACGCCTAAAGACAAAAACTTTTCGGAAATAATGTGAAACATTTTTAGTCAAGAAAAGGTATTTTACCCTCTAGAAGATTATTTTAAGAGTACAGTAAATATAAAGATTGATATACTCCTAGTACATCATTAATTAGGAGGGATGAAATAATGTTGGAGGTAGTCTTTAAAGATAAATAATATACTACTTTTTGGTTTGTGAAATATTAGTTGGTTGAAAAATTGGCTCAATTCAACGTGTGGTTCATCAGAAAGACCGAAATTGTCTTATGTCGATTTTCCATGTAGGCGTAATATTTCATTAATTCAACAATTCATTAATCTATTTAATCTATTTTCCAGCCTTGGTTGTTGAACTTGTTGAGCCCAATGAAAAGATTTACTTTAGTAATAAAATACACTATTGGTTTACAATCTAGGTTAAATGTGGTAGGTTAAATGTGTATACATATTTAAAATGTGTATACATATTTAAAATGTGTATTTTTCAGGTATAGGAAAATGTGCGCAGAAGTTCCATAGGTGCTCAGCGAATAAACTGTGATGACAGAGATCCAGCCAAAGACTCAAAAACTATTTTTGTATTATTGTCGTAGACTTAGGCTTTTATTTAATTTAAGTTTAAGGTTATAACTTAAAACCTCATAAAGAGGAGTGTATTTACTGTATATTATGGTTCAAATGTGAATTTGATCCAAGAATGAATCGCTTTTAAACTGTAACGAAATAATTTGATAAAAGGCCTTCCAAAGATATTATGTACATATTTCGTGTTGGTATTGTAATTGTTTTCTCCAAGATTGTAACAGTGTTGTATATACGCTAGTATATTTTAATAGAAGAGATTAACTAAATGTACAGTATATGTTCAAGTTTTTAATACATTTTTAAATATTGAAATTATAATAAAACTATAACCCATAAAGAGGAAATATTTAAAACTTGTTTAAAGATAAAGTTACAACCATTTAAGGTTCATTTGGGACAAATTAACTAAACCAAATATATTTCTTGTCCAACTGCGTTTCTTATATTTAATAAATATACAAAACTTGTGGATTTGTTAGTAATGAATAAAAAACGTGTGTGGACTAAATATTTAAGTTTAATGAATTATTGACATTTATGTGCAGTTTTTATAATGTTAAGATTCAACATTTTTTTATGACGAATCCATATAATTAAACAATATGTACAAACGTTGACAACAAGCATTAGAAAATGGATATTTTTGTCCTAGGACGCTAGGCACGAGCCCGGGATAGTTTTTTCACATTACTTCATGCTAGACATATGGGTTGCGGCATTATCACTTGGATAAAATTCATTAGTGACTAGGCGGGATTTAAACCCGGGACTCAGGGACTGAAGTCCCACGCCCCAACCACTACACCAGCTCACTTCTCAGAAAATGGATACTAAGTTATATTTTAAAAATCAATAAAATATAAACTAAATTCGTATGCTAAAAGGTTACTCGCAAAATAGGTTTAAACATTTCAATAGACGGAACAAATATCTTTCGAATAAAATATACATTTATATTCTGCTCCGTTTTTCTTATTACTATGTATTTTTTTGAACTTAAAATAACAAAATATACAGGTCTCTAACCGCTAAACTACATTTTGCACATCACAAAAAAACATAAGAAATGTCAAATTGTAAATTATACATTGTACAGTATAGCTTCAACAGCAAATATTTAAAACATTAAAAGATAATAAAGCTATTAAAAGTAAAAAATAACTATAAAGAATTAATTATTTCTAATAATCCTATAAATTGCAGATCAATAAAATATATATTCTTATCTTAATCTTCAAAGATGCAATGTATTTATTTGTGTTTGTAAAAACTTAATAAGTGTAATAACGTCTGTAAATATATTGTTAACGTAGTTTTTTCTCTTGTATCCTACTACATAATTGTAAAACTTTTGTAATAAATTATATTTTTGCTGTCAAATATTTCTTTTGCCAAAGGTCCACCTCCTTATTAGTTAAATAACGTGATTGCTATGCCTAACTAGTTTGAACTGTGATACCTTTGATTAATGACGATAGTGTACAATTGATTATTTTAACTGGGTGGATGCCATCATCAGAAATACAGGGTGTCTGATATTTTAGGGAAAACTGTGAATTAGTTATATGCTGTAAGTTTGTGCAATTTATGTAACGTTGAAATATTGATCAATGGGAAGATATTTATTATTGATTATGACATGTAGCATCGCTACTTTCACTCAGTCACACTATATATTATTTTTTGATAGATTTCCAATGTCTTTTTTTACTAATATACTGTTTTAGTAGGCTTCACGAAACAAACTACAACATATCGAAGCCCCAAGAGCCAAATAAAATTAAAAATTTACTTTCAAGATGCACTCTTTCAGTCCAATTATCGCAGGACTATTTTAGGAACGTATTCAACAGTTTAAACTAAGTGTAGAGACATTTTAACCTAGCACGCTATAGAATAATTAATTATTAAAACTCATTTTAAGTAAACTCAACCAAAAACTATTTATTTACAAAAACTAAACAAATAATGTAAACAAACCAAATAGCAGATGATTCATACTTCATAACTCAGCTGGTAACAATAATCCTACATTTCTCCCCACCCAATTTAGGCTGAGTTTCCGAAACTATGTACATCATCATTTTCAGTTTCCATTTGCATTTTCCATTGAGGTGGATCAGTTGCACCTTCTCTTGCTCTCAGCTGGTCAGCGTGTTTTCTCTTTACATCTCCCCCAACTACAACTGTGTACGACAGCTCTCCCGTCCTTTCTTGTACTGTTCCTGGTCTCCAGCCCTTCTTCGTTTCATTTTGAACCCACACTTCTTGTTTGGCAGAAAACTCCTTTGGTTTGGATTTTAAGTCGTGGTAGTACTTCTGTCGCCACACTTGATTTTCTATTCTCTCTCTGCTATTACACCTCCACCTATCCAAAGCTGTTGGTAATCTTCTACCATAGAAAAGGACTGATGGTGGTTGTCCTGTGGCCTTTTGTGGGGTGTTTCGATACGCAAGCAACACTTGTAAAAGTGCAAGTGATGAACTGAGACCTTCTTGTTTGCAAGCACTATATCGACTCTTGAAGGTTCTGATAATCCTCTCCACTAAACCATTGGTTTTTGGATGATACGGCGCTGATGTGACATGACATATGTTATTGTTCTTACAAAAAGTCTTAAACTCATGGGACGTGAATGGGGTGCCATTATCGGATACAATTTTTTTAGGAATACCATACCTCGAAAACCAAGTCCTTAATCTATTTACAAGAGCAGCAGTTGTCGTACGGTCCATAACTTCGATCTCAACCCATTTTGAGTAAGCATCGATTCCTACTAACCAGAATCGGTTGTCAAATGGACCTGCGAAGTCGAGATGAATTCTTTCCCAAGGATCACTTGGCACATTCCAAGGATATAGAGGCACTTCTGTGTCAAATGATCGGTTACTCTGGCAAGGGTGGCATCTACGGACATAAACCTCAACATCCTTATTCAGATTAGGCCACCAAACATAATACCTTGATAGGGATCTCATGGCCTCTATTCCAGGATGTCCTTTGTGGAGTTCTTTCAATACATTTTCTCTCAAAATCTGTGGCACCACAATTCTTCCTAATCGCATGATTATGCCGTTTTCTAATGTCAGCTCTTCTCTCTTATTCCAATATGGTTTCATAGATGATGGCAAGCTTTCTGTATCTTTTGGCCAACCATGCTCCAGGTAGTCTGTAAGTTTCTTCATATTTGGGTCTTTCTTATACTCTCTTACAAGTTCATGATTTTGATAAACTACGTCAATTTTCTCCTGAACCAATGCTCGAATCTCTCTCTCATCTGGATCTAATACTTCTTGTGTCTTGAGTGAAAACCGAGACAAAAAATCAGCCACACAATTATCCTGTCCCTTGATGTACTGGATCTCAAAATCATACTCCATTAAATACAAAGCCCAACGAACCAAGCGGTTGTTTACTACTTTGGTAAGATCTCGATGCATTCCAAATATTCTTTCAAGTGGCTTGTGGTCCGTCCTCACCTTGAAATGTCTTCCACTGAGGTATTGTCTAAACTTCTTCACGGCAAAAACTAACGCCAGTGCTTCCTTGTCAACTGTAGCATACCTTTTTTCTGCTTCCGTTAGTGTCCTCGAGGCGTACATGACTGGCCTTTCCGTTCCATCCGGCATCAAATGTAACAGCACTGAACCCACCCCTTGTTCACTAGCATCACATTCAACAATGATCGGCTTTGATATGTCGTATGGGACTAATGTCTTCTCTAATGACAGGATATTCTTCAACTTGTCGAACGTAGTTTGTTCGGTGTCAGTCCATTTCCATTTAGTCTTCGTACCAGTCAGCTTATGCAAGCTCGAAGCGATCGCATGAAGATTAGGTATGTACCTTTCATAAAAATTTAGTGCCCCTAGAAAAGCTCGTAATTCTTTCACGTTTCTTGGCCTTGGTGCGTGTCTTATGGTTTCAACTTTGTCTTCGGAGGGATGAATACCATTCCCATCTATTGTATGACCTAAATACTTTACAGACTTCTGAAAGAACTTACATTTTGACAGTTTTGCTCTTATTCCACTTGATTCTAGCCGCCTCAAAACTTCTCTAAGAGTGGTTATATGGGTGGTCGTATCCTTACTAGAAATGATTATATCATCAAGTAGAACTCCAACATTAAGTCCTTTTAGTAAACTTTCCATGTACCTTTGAAATTTTGCTGGACTTGAGGAAAGACCAAAAGGCAACCTTTTGTAGCGAAAGTAGCTTACATGAGTTGCTATTGTAAGATACTTTTGTGACTCAGGGTGTACTTTCATTTGCAAGTACGCGTCTCGAAGATCTATCACTGAAAATATCTTTCCATCAGTTAATTTGGAAGTCAAGTCATCAAAGGTTGGTAAGAGGTGTCTCTCCGGAACTATGTTTGGATTCAAGGTTGTACGAAAATCGCCACAGATTCTGAATCTACCTCCACCCTTGTCTACGTTGACAGTTGGGGTACTCCATTCTATCGGTGTTTCGGAAGGATCCACTGCTTCCAAAACTCCTTCCTGTACTAATCGCCGTAATTCTCTCTCCACTGCCTCCCTTAAGGGGAATGGAACTCGTCGTGCCCCGTAAGATACAGGTTTTGTTCCACTTTTTAGATGGATAACTTCATTAGAGTCAGATATCGTTCCTAGCTCATCACGAAAGAGATCAGAAAACTCCTGAGTTAATGTCACAACTTCTTTTTGTAACTCTTTTCTACAACTTTCTTCATTCTTGCCTGTCTCTTTACTATTTGTCTTTCCATTATCAATACGCCTAACCCTAACTTCCCTAGGCAAACTAAGATTGAAAGCTACACTCCACGGCAACCCAAATAATGGAACATCATCTTCTAGTAATACAATAACTGGCAATCGCTTAGTACGATTACGTAAAGTAACGTCCACAAAAGCCTTACCCATAACTTCTAGCTTATTTTTCCCATAGCCAGTGATTACATCAGACGTCTTTTTTAGAGATTCGCCACTTGAATTGATCTTATCCCAAAGAGACAAACTTATAGCACTTACCCGAGCTCCTGAATCAAACTCCATTCTAACATTATACCCGTTCAATTCTACATCTATCGTAGCTCTGGGAACCTTACTCTTGACAGACCTAATTTGTGTTCCGCTAACATCAATATCAGAACTACACTCATCATCGTAAGTTTGATCACAAGAATCATCTACTTTTCTCAAATTACCATCTGTTCTCTTGAAAAAATTATGTTTACTTTTGCACATTCTTGCGAAGTGGCCTCTCCTTGAACATTTCTTGCACACAGCAGAAATAGCAGGACACCTATCTTCACTAGGGTCATGTGTAAACCCACATCTATAACACCTATTGAAGCCAGTAGATTTCTGTACCTCTGGTTTCCTCTTTTCCTTACTGTCACTTACTTTAAAAATCTCATTTTTACACGAATGTTTGGAAACTTCATCTCTCGCTCGTTCCATAGATTGGGCTAACTCTAGTACTACTGTTGACTTAACACGCTCACCTCGGTTATTAACTCCCTCGGGCCATCTTTGTCTGACTTCGACTTCAAATTCTGGGCAGTTGCTTCCTACTGCAAACCTATCTCGTACTCGTTCATCTAAGCTATCTCCATATTTACAACTTCTAGCTAAAGACTTCAATCTGTTATAAAACAAAATAAATGTCTCACCATCTTTTCTTATTGCTCTTTCGAACTCAAACCTTGTTGCAAAAAGGGTCCTTGTAGGCTTGAACAACCGGTTGGCTTCCTCTTTGACTTCGTCGTAGGTGCACTCCTCCCAGGCCCTTGGATACATCTGGTCCGACAGTGCCCTGAGGTGCTCCTCTCCGATATTTGCCAATAGAAGATCTCGCCGAGCCGCTTGTTCTTCTGTGTTAGCACCACCCAGTCCCTTAACTCTGCAGGTCAACTCAAAACGAGCTATGTAGTCTTCCCACAATTGTTCACTATTATACTCTTTAAATGAAAATCTGCTTATTCTATCTTGTACGCAAGACATGTTACTACAGTCAATTACACTCCTATACTGAGACTGGTCTGTTTTCCTCGGCATTTTCTCGTCGCCAATATAGAATAATTAATTATTAAAACTCATTTTAAGTAAACTCAACCAAAAACTATTTATTTACAAAAACTAAACAAATAATGTAAACAAACCAAATAGCAGATGATTCATACTTCATAACTCAGCTGGTAACAATAATCCTACACACGCTATGTCGGTATTTTCCAAGATTGTTTTGAAATTGTTTCACTAATGATTTTCTGACATTGTGTGTTAGTGTTAGACTCTTCAAAGGTTTAAACTGTGCGAGTGACATTCTTATGTTTTAAAAGTCAACCATTTCAGAGAAACACATTTTTCTCCCGTAA